CCCTTTATATCTCTGTAATGAGTGGTGGCTTCCTTTTCTCGTCTTTTTTTTTTTTTTTTTTTTTTTTTTTTGTTCCGTCGCATATATCACGCGAATAATACACAACGATGCGGTTAAAAATAGGTGGAAAAGGAGGAACGTTCTTGGCAGGATATTTGTGTGGGAACGTAGGAATGGCTTGGCTTAAGGAATGTCTACCCTCGCGGCAGCAAGGGTCGAAGGACTCGACAAATATCGTAAAATGTAAATGTCGCGGGTTCAACGTGATCCCGGGGAGAACTTCTCAATTTACCAATATGCCGAAGCCCTTTTATCCGGCTTACGCGTTCACGGCTGGATTAATTCCGTGCCGGTTCGTCGGCCATCTTCGCGGCCTGTTTCCTCGGGATTAAAATTTCTGGACCCGACGCTTTCGCGCGTTTTCACGGATCCCGGATACGGAATACGTTTAACTCTCCGGTGTCTCGCCTGCGTCGGCCGAACTTCTACTCCTGCATCGATTTGCTTCGCGAACCTCGTCAGAATTCCTCCGGAAAAGGTCAGCTTTTCGGCGAACGAGCGCGTCCGAACTTTCCACGGTCGACCTATTTCGATTATCGCGATCGCGTAAACTTGTTACACGGCCAACTTTCACGGCGAACCGAACGCGGAAGAGCATTTCGGTAGTGTAAATACTCCGCCCGTGAGCTTTTTCTTCGCCGATGTTTCCCAATTACTTCGTCCAAACGACAGATCGCGTTTACTTGCATCCGTTTACCTCTCAATCTTTGCACATCCCGTGTGGAACATAGTAAGGGAAGCCTCCGTAATATTCAGCTCCCGAACTGGCTTTAATATGGAATTCATAATATGATTCTTCCGGATACATCCCTGAAAGGTCCCGACATGGCAATTACACGTTTCCATTTTGAAATATAATCGGGACTGGATAGGTGAATCTTTAAACTTTTACCTTTGAACAAAGGTACTCAATGATTTCCACGATAATTTTAAACAACGACTTGATGGACCGCTATGGGAACCAGTGCGGTACAATCAGTGTATGGAGAAACCGTTAAAATGAAATTTAATAGGACCTTAACGAATTGTGAGGACCTGAAAACGTTTACTCGGGGTGTTGATCGTAGAAATCAATGATAATGTTTATGTTGGAAAACGAATAACAATCACACCTCTTGAGGGGCGGGGCGGGGGCGTGGGGGGGGGGGGGGGGTTATACCTCATGAGGGGTCCAGTACATATCGAGTAAAAGTATGAATGAAAAGGAAAACATTCGTCGTTTGCCCGTAAAAAACTGATTAAAAATACACCCTCGTACCGCGCGCGCACTGTGGTATTCATAAATGTAAATATTCCACGTCAAGGAATACGTCACATATAAAAATTGTTAAATACACATTTATAATAATAATTGATTATATTTTCGTGAGTCATTATTCGTAAGACATTCTTCAGAATTCCTTATTTTTTATTGAAATATTTCTGATTTTCATGCAACGAGGGTGTGTCCAGAGCTATTCCGAGGGTGTTTCAGGGGCTATAACCGGGATTAAAACGGGAAATAATAAGGCCCCGAGGATCCATCCTTTAATGGCCCCGTTCAAAAAAGCGTGACAATCCCTTATGCCTTACGGGAACCGAACGGGCTTCCTAAATAGGCCCCGAAACGAATTCGGGACGATCAACTCGAACCTTTACGTATCCCTAACAAAATGTTCACACGGGAACCTTTACACATTCCACGTTAGAGGATCGATGCGGTACCGTACGGCGAAGAACACATTCGTCCACCGAGTAAAACGACCTGCTCGCTCTCTCGACTCCGATGTCCAAGGAAAACTTTTCTCCTGTAATCGATTCAATTTTCCAATTCGTCTTGTTCAATTCCAGCCGATCTTGAAAGCTCGCCGACGGAAGTTACGCGTCGCCTGGCGGGCAACGCTGGAAAACGACTTTGTCGAGGTACCAAGAAAAACAATTCTCGCGACACCCTCGACTATTGCGTTACGGCTGTCTTACTATCGAAACTCGCAATAACGTACCGCTCGTTCCCGTCCGTATCTCTATGGAAGGGTGGAAAGACGCGATTCTTCTCGCGTAAATGTCCACGCGCACACGCTACCGCGTGTACATCGGATACATCCACCCGAGTTAAGCCGTACAAGATAGATGGTCCGTCCGGTGACCCTCTCTCACCCTGAACGTTTCACTCGCACTTATGATATATGATGACGCCGCTAAAAACTGGCAGACGCGTTTCACCCACCCGCTCGTGCCCCCGGCATTCTCTCTACACTCGGCACCGTTTCGCAGGAATTGTCGACCTGGCGGCCACCTTGGCCACCTTAGCAGCTGGATAAATCGACGCGAGATGCGAACAATACTTGAGAGATTATACGCTCGGCCGGCGACTAGCGTCGTGACGCCGTCTCCGAAAAACTCCATATTCCTTGTTCCCGTGATGTATGGTCCCCTGCGAGTTGTCGGTTGTCGTTCGCCTCGGTTCTTACCGTGACTTGTTTCTTGGTGTAATAGACGAAAAAATTCTCACCCTCCGCGGAGCTTCGGGCGCTAACCCTTCGGCTAGAACGTGGCAGGGGAGACTTGGCCAATTTCACGACGATATCTTTGCGAATCTTCTTCTGAATTGTTGCCGGTCTCGTCTTGTGTACTTGGTCGATATACAGGACCATCTATATATACTATATTTCTCAGAATTAATGTAAGAACCAGAAATGATGATGATGATGATTCCGAGCCACGATTTCCTTTGCAAAAATGCTGCTTTCTTTATGAATTATTAACGAAAAACCATCGATCGCTATTGGTTATTGGGATTAGAAAATAATTATCACTCAGTTATTCCCTTTTATAAGACACTCTTTGTTTCGACGAGAGAGTTAGGAGCAGCGAGGAGTTGCTCTCAAGAAAACTACAATCGAACCGAGCATTTCGACGTCAGTGGAAAAATGCAACGAAAACTATCAGTGCCCTCTTGTCTCGGAAAAGGTCTGCCGACTTTCTGTTTCGGATCATGAACTAACTCCAAGAGACCTTTTTCAGTATTGGTTTATTTTTCACCGTCGGGGTCTTGGACTTTGAGTCGCCAAGGGCCCGAAGTATCCAAGAACCGCGAATCACAGCGTCCGAATAATAAATGGTTTTAGCGTCAATAGAGTATCTAATACGACCATAAAACTGACGCTCCTAGTCGCCCCGAAGCAAAATAGGATTATAAATGAAAATTGGAAATACTTTCTTAGCACGCAATAATATTAATTGTGTGGATAAATTATAACATAGGGGTTGAAATAATTTTACAGACAAAACTCGTCCCGACTCGGTGGCTGTGATTGGTGAAATTGTAGTTCAGAATCGTCTCAGCTACCCCCAATTTTCGATTCTTGCATTACATCTGGGACACTCCGTACGACACACGCGAACGGTATTTAAGTTTCAATAGAAAGCTGCTCGCTTTACGAGGGTTTACCGAAACGAATGAATCCTCTATAAAGTTTCTTATCCCCTTGGAGAAGAAAAGAGTCCTCGGGTAGACCAACGCCAGATTAGTCGGTAATGGATCTTATTCCTTTCCCCGTTTCGTCGGCGATTAATTAATCGAATTTATCTCGGTCGCTCTAACGATAGACCTCGACGAACGGAAAGAACGCGGACTCGAAAAAGCGGAAAACCACCGGAACCCTCCACTCTGCGTATAGCGAGTGACACGCGAAGCAAAGAGACACAAAACTCGGAGATTTCTTTTTTTTCTCGTCGTGCAACGCAGGCCCGTAGGGGCGTCCTTCGCCGGGAGAGACGCTGAAAGTGGAATTTTTCTCTTAAATTAACTCTTCTCAAAGGGTGGAATCAGCTGGCAACTCGTCGAGCTATGTCTCTCGTGCATGTTAAAACGTGCACCTGCAGCGAACGTAATGCTCGAATTTGTCAGAAAAATGGGAAAGAGAAAGAGGGATGCGAACAATGGCACGGTAATGTTTAAGAAAATGTTTCATTTCTCGTCGACTCTATTACTTTCGTTTAAACGATCTAACTAAAGATAGATCTAACTAAAAATAATAGGCGCTAGAAGTAATCGCGACACGCGCGAAATATCGTTTCTCGGTTTCCGTGTCTCCGCTCAATTTCGAAGAAAATTTCGCTCCAAAGTCTGCGGAGGAGCCGCGTGAATACGGCCAGGTATTTCGAGCTCTGCTTTGATTGCGAGTGCCAAATTAACGTTGGGGTTGTGCTGTCGTCATAGTCGTTATCGTCAACGTCGTTTCGCACATATATTCGCGTGCCCGCTAATCATGCCAGCTGCAGTCGAAACCGTGAATCGCGTAGTCTCGGGATCAAAATCCACGGAAACGTAGGAAAGCACTTCTCTATCGAGGCTTGGAAAACTTGCTCGCGAATTACTAGCCGAATACCCCTCGAAACTAGAATTTCTAATCCGTTGCGAAACGATCGTTGTTTAAATAGTTGCCAGACCGAGAGGATAATTCTTTCGAAAGAACGAACGTTTTACTTTCGAAATTGATTTTCCAGCGAAGCGAATGGCTATAGTTTCGCAAGCTGCCACCTTAAACGTGGCAAGGGTGAGGATGAACCTGTTCGAGGACGGGAGGATTACAACCATCCCGTAACGGCGAGGATGTAGGACGAGCCTAGGGACCCCCACCCAGCAGGGCTGGGGTTAACCAACATTTACATAGGCGCGAGCGTAGACTGAATAACAATGCTTGAAACGGAGCTAAAACCAGCCGGGCCATTCCACCGAGACGGCACGTTCGTCATCCTTCTACGGGCTGCTCAATTGCGCCATGTATCGAACTTGCATGGAAATTAGGACAGATGAATAGAGCTTTGTTAGTTGAGAACGACGAAACTCGGAATTCGAACTTATACCCGGAACTTATACACTCGTTCGATATACGATCTGCTCAACTTTCCCTTAACCAATTTAGATGAGAAGGACATATAAAAATTCTAACTTTATTATATCACAATAGATTTTATTTTTCATACAGTCGGGGACAGGCATTTATGATATACTATACAGAGTAATATCTAGAGCTCGATTTTGTTCGGGGATCACGGCCACCACGCTTCTTATGACATTTTATTTACTATGGCTAAATGTAAAGAATGCAATTGACTCGTCCATTTATCGAGAGCATTGTAACGCGCTGCGCATACAGATTTTTTATCCAGCTCAAGAACTTGATTCACCTGTTAATCGTATGCAATCCAGCGTAAAACCAATGATCCATGAAATTTCTTAGATGATATAAATTTGATCGTATTACCTGATCTATACGGCCACGAATGGTACTATCCAAAATACAAGACACTAAAAGGCTCTCAACCTCTGATACATCGATATTTAATTCTTTGCTTATAAAAGGTATATAAATTCTAGTGTACGGTTTTATTAATTTAATCAAAACCTATAAAGTGAAATGGATTAACACTATACCTGAACGTTCAAAAGCTCTCTGAGCAATTACGCCTATACCTGAGTATATACATACCTGAGTACGTATATTACGTAACAAGTCCTCGATGTGCTCTCTTATAAAAGGGTCATCCATTATATTATTTCTATTTTGTTTCAATATTAATTCAAATTGATTAATATCGTTATTTTGATAACTGACCACTAAATTCGTCATTGCCAAGATCTCTGGATCATTTTTATACGGCTTTGCCTCTTGAGAGTCAAACGGATTTATACCAGATTTCATTAGCCTATTTGCATAATTATAAAATGTTCAAAATGTTTGAATACTAACAATAGAACCTGCTAATACCGTAACGAGCGCTACTGTTTTATCGAACTCTTACTTACATATTTGCCAAAACTAAATATTTCAAACACGTCGTACGTCTCGGGGATCCAGACTCATCATAGTTTTTAAAGGCTTCAAAGAAATCTGTGTGTGCCCTCTCGAATTCACCTTCTCTTAAGTGCATTTTACCACCACATTCTTGTTACAATAGGAACCACAATTTTACTTTAAACATTATTCAAACACTGTCACATAACTTCTAATCCTAATCAAACAAATTATACAATCATACCTCTAATGACTCCCATTATTAATGGATGTGGTATAGCACTTTTAATGTGCAAGCTTTGCTCGTACAAAGTCTTTAATTTCTTATTATTTTTTTGTGCTGTGTACATTTGTATTTCTAAAGCATATATCTCTAAAAGCTGAGTTCCCTTTTTCAGATCATCCTCCCCATCGTCAGTCTAACGAAACACATGTATCCAAATATAAAATGACCTCTGTTATTCCTTGCGATATGTTAATGCAAGCAAACCTACCTGACAACTCTGATGAAGTTGTTTTAATATTTTTGCTAACTTATTAAAATCCGATCGATCAAAGTATAACTTTCCCAATTTTGTATTAGTCTTAAACCATAACCTATCATTTTTAGCATCTTTTAATGCATCTAAAGTAGTTTCATAAAAGTCTTGTAACAGTTCCATCTGCAAGATGGGTTGAATATAGTAAATGACCAAACTAAACCACACTTATGAACTAACTAAACCACACTTACAACCTAACTAAATTACTTACATTTTTCGATGTGCTAATATAATCCAATATGGAATTTATAGATTTTTCAGAGTGGTTTCTTGTAACTGCACTTTTAATGTACGTTAATAACTGTTTGTACCTGGCCATCATTTCCTTATAATTAGCCTAAAACAATAAAATATCATAATTCATAAATATATACATATGTAGGAGGTAATCTAAGTAACCCACCAATTTAAAATTAATTTTTATCATTTGTTTCAAAGCTTTGAAACCCCATTCACCCTTCTCTCCTCCCTCTAACTCCAAAACTTTTTGAAAACTCTGTAATGCTGCCTTCGGATCATCCTCCTTTAAAGCTTTGCTATTATAATATTGATTTTCTAAATCAACATCTGGTTCCGAATTCGAGTCCTCCGAATATTCCTAAAATTAGCATAAAAATAACGTCATTTCGAAACTGACCCTATTCCAAAATAACCAATTTTAACAACAAAGCAAGACGAAAAGTGAAAGACTGCATTCCATAAGCATCCACATAACCTAACCAGAATTAAAATTCCGTTTAATATCAATATCGTAATTCTCCTCACAGGAAATCTCGGAAGTACATGCTTTTTTTACTGTCTAAACAATGCAGAATATCTACGAAACTATTTTTTCATGCCATACATGTCAAAATGAAAATTCTAACCTATTCCACAACCCGAAATATTACGAATCAAACAACATTGCTTGTGTAAAAAGCGACGAGTACTTACAAGACCATAATCTTCCTCTTCTGCGCACATAAAATCATCCTCGCCGTCTGACATTTTACTAATAATCAAAGAATCTGAATCTTGGAAGTAAGAAATTCACGTTACCCTGTTGACAACCGCAAGTCAGACCAGTTTGTATTTTGAAATTCACATGCGTGCACTGTGCTTACACATGTGCAGTCCTCAATGCAACCTGCATTGCTGCAGATATCATATCAATAAGGTCCTTTTGTCACAAATTATTTTTAACGTATTTTACATGCAATCGTCGAATAATCAAATATCGAAACTTACGCGCAAGAATACGGCTAAATAATTTTTACCGAAATCCATTTTTCATTGATAAACGTGGCTAAACGTAAAGAAAAATACTCCTGACGTTGTACTAGTGACTTGTCAAATTCTGACTGATTCCACTCACTGGTCTGTTTTTGTCAGTGTAATAGGTTATGTTTCTTCTCTCAAAATGGTTAATTCCGATGAATCGTCAAATGAGCCGATACTTTACGAATTGCTAGAATATTTTGTTCGGAAGCAAGACCCAGAACTAATAGTAAGTACATATGCCTAGCGTATGAAAAAAAAAAAATTTGAATTATACACAATTTACCTTCACGAGCATGTATTGTTATGTTTCTAACATAATATTTCTTTTAGAAATGTAAAAATGACGCTATAATATTACCGACGACTGGAACAATTAAAAATGCACTTAGGTATCTCAATAACAGGTACTCCTTACCAGAGAGTATATCGCAACAAATCAGTCTTACATTGCCATGGAAAATTGCAATTGGAGATCATGGACGTTTACTGGCTATTTTACAAGAAAATGTTATAGAAATTCGAAAAGCAAAAGATGAGTATTCGTCGGTTGTTGGGAAAGCTTCTGGTAAGTTACAAAGTTATATAGAGTTTTTTTGTGCCTACAGTATTACTTTGAAAAGATTTCTGATTAAAAGTATAGGATATTTTAATATTCATTGCACATATTTTATAATTTTAGTTCCAAAGGATGCTTTTCCACATTGGCGTAAACTCTCTTGGAGTCCAGATGGAACAATTTTTGTGCTAGCATCTAGCAATGGCTACACATCTTTCTACAATGCACTTGGAAATAACATTTTTAACATCAGCCCAAAGACTATTTCTCAAAATCCTCATATTTTAGAAGCTGGTGATGCAATAGCATCTATGATATTTCTTAAGCCAAGAATAAAGTCAGAGAAGTGGTCCTATGAATTTCTATTAATCACATATAGTGGTCTGCTCAAATCTTATCATATCTCAGTGAACAATGGATATGAAGCAAATTATGAATTTTCATTTGGCAACTTTTATAAAAATGGTGTTAATGCTGTTACTTATGATGAAAAACATTCTTTATTTTATGTTGCTGGAAACACAATAACCCAAAAATTAACGGTATTTAATCTATTTTAGACATATGCCAGTTTAGAAAAAACAGTATTCTATAGTACATGTTTTGTTACAGTCAACAGCTTCTGAAAGTGGTTTAACTTCATGGCGACCTCTGAACGATTATCCGTATTGCAAATTGTCATTTGCCTTTGATGATAATTCACAAACTACATCAAGATTTTCTATATGGAATATTATTCCACTGTTAAGCCTGCAGCCAGAATCGATCATATTAAAAATAAAAATCTCACCAAATAATACATTTTTAACATGTTTGCATTCAGATGGTTCGATATCATTGTGGGCACTACCCAATTTATTGTTACAAAAGAAATGGAAATTGTTTGACCAACCAGATTTTAATATACCTAATCCCCTGGGACATGCAAAATCAAAAAAATTTCCACCAGGTGTGACAGAATTTCACCCATTAGACATTGGTTGGTGGTCTGACCAGGCAATTATAATTGCAAGATACACTGGATCTACTTCTGTATGTTCTACAAAGAACTTAAAAAATCTTCTGGGGACCAGTCCCGAATTTTTAGCTGGACAACCTCAAATATGCGAACTTGGTCCAGATAGAGGCTTCCTATGCTTAGATTGTGAAACATTTACAACAAGTAAAAAACGAAATAGAGATTCTAATCCTGAAGCGCAAATATTAGGTTTGTATTACGGTACATGTTCTATAATTTCTATACACGCGATAAAAGGTATATTTATTCGATTTTTAAGACGCCTCATCGGAAAGCGAAGAGGAGCACGATGAATTAGAACCAATTAGTATATTAAATTACACCACGAATGTAGTGCAAAGTACTTTATACTCTATAACTGACATCGAAAGATTTCAACCCAAAAGAAAAAAGTCAAGAGTATTGTTTAGAACATATAGAATCCTTGGTCTTAAGAGTACAACACCTGAAGAACTTTATTCGAGAAAAATAGATATAGAGGTATGAGTTTTTATAAAATTCAAAGTATCTCGAACTAGACGAAATAAAAATTATTTTATAGGAGTACGAAGAAGCATTGGCCTTAGCCAATACATACAACTTAGACACGGATCTTGTTTATCAAACGCAATGGCGAAAATCCGAATTATCTTTGAATGCCATTCAAGAACATCTGAGTAAAGTTTCTAAAAGATCTTGGGTTCTACATGAGTGTGTTACCCGCGTACCGGATACTATAGAGGCAGCAAGAGAATTATTAAATTTTGGATTAAAGGGTGCCAATTTAGAAACTTTGATAGCAATTGGAACATGCGATAATGGAAAATTTGTAGTAGACGATACCGATGAAGATTGGAGTGAAATGGACGAAGAAAGTGTAAGTTTAAGACAGGTAAGCTTATCTGTTCTTATCTAAAAATATATAAAAATCTGAACATATATTAAACGTTAATAAAAACACAGCTGCAAAAAACAAATCAATTGCTTGAAAAAATTGACATGAAAAATTTATCAGAAGCTCAGAGCAACTTGATTAAATACAGAAGAAAGCTTCTAGATCATTTGGATAAATTACTCACATACGAAATTATTTTGGGATCATCATCGAAATATAATAAAAATTTTTACGAGGAATTTCGTCAACTTTCAGCAGTTGAGAATGCGATTAGGTATAAACAAAATAATATAAATTATTTATAATATAATTTGAGAATTGACATGCCGATTCTACTATCATTACTTCGTTAAGCGCAGATTTGCCAAGAATGGCGATTGTCAAGAAGTTGAAATTATGTTCACGTATTATGGCGAAAGTTTACTACCTCATTGGCTAGCAATTATTAGCTTTTTCCCAGAAACATTAAATCCATTGAAATATAAAAAACTTCTACCGGAATGCGATACCGATGGCCAATTATTTTTGCTCGATCAACGTGAATTACGGCAAAAGGATTGGTCTGAGAAAACTGAGTTCAATGAAATAATTAATTTCAAAAGTGACGATAAATCAAATCAACTATACGAATCCGACCCATCGCTATCCATATATAAGTAAACTAAAATATACTCTATATTATTTATTTTACGATATTTGTTATTTTTATGCATGTTTTAATTATTCTTTGTCTTATTTAGGGATACCTTGCTTACTACAGAGTTACTTCAAAAATGGTACAAATCTCGAGCTTATCAAATTGAAAGAAACAGTTACTTAGTTGATAATGCTTTGCAATTGATAAAGATTGCCAAATCGCATAACATTAATGGTTTAGAAAATCTGTTGTTAGACTTAGAAACTTTAGATGATTTGATTTACAAAGTTTATGTAGAAGATCTATCTTTAGATCATTTACAAAAGTTAACTGATTTAGAAAAAATCAAACTGCTAATGAGCATGACTACTGAGAAGAGTTTCGTTGACGACATCAAAAATTTCGTACTACCATTTATTAAAAGAAGACACCAATATTTGGTATGCACGAAAGACTAAGTTTATCAATGATTATTGCATTTCTAATTTGGTCCAATTTCTAGGGTGGAGAATTACAAAGACATTTGTTCAGTGATTATTTAATATCCATTAGTAAAGAAGACCTGACACTATTGGTCAAACTTTTCGAATACATAAAACAATCTCAAGATAATGAAATTGTTCAAATGATAGAAGACATTGTCATTTTAGCGTTACATTGTATATACGCTTGCAATGATCCTAATATGTATGAGAAAGCAACGTGCATTGTAAATTCTATTGCGAAAAATCGCGATGGAAAAAAGACCAGCGGAATGTGCACTTTACTTGAAGAACTTGACAGAGAACTGGAGTGTACAAAAATCTTAAACAAGTATGGAGTTAAAACCACGTTAAATGCGTTACGGGAAAATAAAAGCAACCCCGAAGCAGCTAAACAATTATTAATTCAAATGGCAAGAGGCTTGAATAAAATGTAAGCAGTGCTATTTAAGAGTTTGAATTGTTTTTATAACGATTTTTTTGTATATTAATTTGTGTACATTTTTCTAAAGAATTCCGCCTCCGGATGAAAAACAGTGGGCTCAGTTATTGAATGAAATGTTAGAAATTCACAGTTTGGTTTTTACTTGCGTCGATATAGAAATATGTTTCGAGATCTGCGTCTCGGCACGCTTAGTATCAGGTGTTAAATCCAACATACAGAATTGCGCTGGTTTAATCGAAACGAAGAAAAATGAACAATCTTTGTTAAAAGTATCGTACGAAAAGGCCGTGAACTTGATCCTGGAGGCTAGTAAAGAATATTTTAATAGTTCAAAAAGCCTCACCGATTCTAACATGGAATTGGCTAGGTAAGTTCTTGTATTTGAAGTAAATTTTATCTTTATTTCAATTTCTATAAATTAACTTTTATTCCAGAGCTTGTCTTCATCTAATTGTAGACGATAATCCACATATCAAAGAAGAATACGATCTGATCAATTCGCTACAAATTTTGAACGAGTTCAATATCAGTATACTACCGCTCCAAGTCAGATTAATGCAAGACCGACTAAAATTGATATCAGATTGTTTAAATAAACGCGAAGATGGTCATAAAAGTCGTCAACGTTTACTAACTCTAGCAACTTATTTGCGAATCGAAAAAAATAATAGCAAGGCGCGCGAAGGGAAAGTTTTAGAATTAATAGCGAAAAAGGCACTGGAGGTAAGTAAACTTTTTTTGAATTTACTGCTAAAAATTAGATAAACAATATTGAAAAGTTCGTTTTACCTGTAGCTTCATTTTACAGGTAAAAGATTTTAATGTTTGCGCTGCTACTTGCGAACAATTAATGCAGAATAACTACATTCCTGCGTGGACAGTTGCATTAGACTTGGGATACTGTGAAAACTACGAAGATTTAAAAACTAGGCAAAAATGTTTATGGTTTGCTATAAACAATGGGCCTAGCGATATATTAGGCAAAGCACTTGATCAGATACATCTTATAGAAATACAAATTTTACATAAAAAATTAGAGCTGTGGATACCCTCAACCGAGCCTAGCGATCTTAACGATGCCGATAACGCAGATAGCGAAGATGAATTCATAGACGCGATGACTACCGTAAGAAGTATATATAAAATAGATTAATATTCTAAACAATCAATTTTACCGTCATATTTTTAATTTACAGCCACAAGTGGAAACAAAAGAATTTGTTCCAAAAGTGTTAGAAGCGTCTACGGGAATAGTAAAAAGTTCCGCAAGTATTATGAAAGAATCAACATTTGGTTTGATTAAAAGTATAAGCGACTCGAACTTTTGGAAGTCTAGATTAAAACTTAACTTTACAAATAGCCGAGATAATAGTATAGAATACGATAAAGCAAGTCAAGAGGACAATGGCGATCTTCAAAGTTTTCCATGTTTTTATGAATGTTTACATAAACGACATAGACTTAGTAATCTCGACACTAAATATATGAATTATTCAATGCCGGATATACAGAATACAAAGTTAAAATGCTGTCGGACATTTTTAAGAATAGCTATGTTGAGTGAGTCGTCTTGTTGCGGATTAGAAGTTAGCGATATTAATCACTGTAAGCGATATTATACGATACTTTGTACCTAAACCGTAATTTACGTCTTTCGATAAATAATAATTCATCTGTTTCAGTACTTCTAGAATGTGCAAGATATACTATGGAGGACGATTGGTTATTAGGAATGTCATATTTATTTAGTATAGAAAAAAATTCTATAATAGAAACGCAAAATGTCTTAACAGAATTTCCACAAACAGAATTATACACTCAAACTGCATTGTATTACTACTGTTTGGAGTTACATAAAAGATTATATAGAGATTTTGAAAATTTATATTTATTTAATCCGATAAGTTTAATAAGGAAAATTATAAATGTAGCTCATAAAAGTAGAAATGCAGATATCTATGAAAATTTCAAATATTGGCAAACACGTTTACTTGCTGATCAAGAACTAGAAGACACAACATTTTTTGACACAAATCAAATAGCCGAAAATTCTGTAATAACTAAGGAACTTGAACTTGAAACTGAGCCTATTCAAAGTTCGACTTTACACCCTGGAAAATCACAAAAGAAAACAATGACAACTGAAAGATCATCTTCACAAATTGAGGGGAAAAATGAAATCAAACTAGGCTTTTCTGAATCAAGTGTTAAAGGCGAAGTAGAATGGACTCATGATTGGGGCAACTTTTCTGACGAAGATGTAGAGACTTTTGAGAGCAAAAAAGACATTCCAAAATATGAATCAAGTATAGACCATAATATTCCTTTGACAAAGGATATTGGTGAATGTGCAACAGAGAAAGATCGTTTTGAAGCTTTCGAAAAAATGTTCAATAGAGTACATAATATCGATCATTTCCATGAAATAAAGGAAATAATGTTACGATGGCCAAAATTCAATGATCCTGCATACACTACTATCGACAAACATCCAGTTTTAAAATTAATGAAATTAGTGAATGTGTATATAACGGAAGAAGATAAAAGCAAGCATAACAAACAAATTTTCCAGGAATATAGAATGTTAATAGAAGCATTATCTTCGTTGGATGTAAGTTTACAAAGATTATTAATTTCATCTGATAATAATACAACTAAATTCATTGATTATTAATTCCTTAAATTTTATCTGACAGATGCTTAAGGAATTTTTAAATACCCAACAGATCCCTCTTGAGCATGCGATCTATATTAGATTAGATATGGATGATCTGATACTTCATAAAGAGGCTGTAAATATTCTCAAAGAAAGGCATAAAGTATGTTCATTCTTTAATTAAAATGGTATTACTCTACTTTAAATCAATATTTTGACACACCCATCGTTTTGTGTTTTAGGATTTGATACTATCAGCTCCGATATTAGAGATGTTATTCTTAAAAAATTTAACACCATATTTTGATCCAAATCACGAAGTATATAGTCGAATTATCGAACATGTTCTTATGAATCGATCTCTAACAAATGTAAAAGAAAATGCAGAAATCCTTGTGAAGGAATTAAAGAAACAAAAACATATATCTCACGCCTTATGCATAATTAAATTGATGGAGGATATTCCCCCATCTTTGTGCACATTCGACACTTGTTACGAAATTCTAATGAGAAAATGATTATTCGTTCCTGTTTATAAGAAAGCTGTGATGCAAATTAAATAAGACTTTAAGCATGCAAATGATTATAAGTTGTACTTGATTACGCTTCTATTTTCCAATCGCAAGAACCTCCTTTTAAGATGACAAAAATATATATTATGCACATTTGTTACACGTTATTTGTAAATATAAATACGTTATCCTATAAACTATCAACCGATTCAAATGGCGCACTATTACTGATCGACCATTCAAATTTTTCTTCGATCAAATGAGATTAGCCATCTAGCGGTGAATATGTAAATTAATTGTTTTACCTATAGCCAGCGCCATCGGTGGGAAAACGCCGAAGTTTGTCGTGAAATAGTCCCTAGTTTTTAACGCTAGACGGCGTATGCTGTTTGTATTTATCGACATTTTAATATATTGTCGTAATACTTACATAATCTCTTTTATTACGTTCAGTAAGGAACCAGTAGTTATACTACGAGCATTTTCCTATTAAAATTCAACTAAGAAAATGTTTTTCAACCCATACTTTCTACAACAATGTTTGGACTAACTGGTCACGACATCTAACCAGAAAGATCTAGAACTATTTTTCGATAAGCTTAGACGTTCTGACGTAGATGGCGCCCTATACTTTTTATCGATCTAAATCTGTCGCGACATCTAACGATAAAAAGCTAAATCTATGTTCGGCGCTATATACTTTAAATAGTATATTATATACATAGATCTATATAAGTATAGATATGTATATGTAGTAAAACTATTCTATACATAAGTAAAACTAACGTATTTCAAATGAAGCTTAGCCAATAGCCAAGCCAAGCTAGATCAACATCGATAACTTTGTTCAGGAAATAAGTCATTGTATGTTATTGCGAAATTAATACCATATGAAAGATGTCTGCTGAAGTCGAACTACAAGATACTTCTAACAATATCGAGTCCATAGAAAATACTCAACACCTGAAAGAACGTGCAGAACGAAATCGTCAAAAAGCATTGCTTTTAAAAAAATCTAAGATTGTTTCTCATCCTTATACAAAACGGTATGTTGTCTATGCTATAAGTTAATGTTGCTCTCAAGATTTTGAACACTAATTGAAATAAGTACGTTTTAGATTATTATGAATTTGATAAAAAATGTAATTTTTTAAGGGGAAGTAAAGATTCCACAAACAGTAGATCAATAAAAGTCCAAGGACAACGTGTCATAGACAGTGGAGGTGGTTTCCTTATAGAAGAAAATGATGACTTAGAAGAGCAAATGGTACATCTTGAACAACTTTGAAATCTATAGTAATAAATGTTATAAATTTTATACATTTAAATATTCAATCTTTATTTTCCGTCAGTTACAAATAACAGCAGAACCTGCTCCTATTGTTGCCAATTTGCCTTGTTGCGATGAGTGCAAAAAAGAGTTTAAGGACTCCATTCTTTTGCAAACTTTTGATTTAACTGTATGTGATAAATGCAGGTACACAGATCAATTTAAAATAGTAGTTACTTTATTGTACTAACGTTATTTATACATAGTTGGAGTTCTATTAACCATTTTTTTTTTTTATTTTATTGCAGGGATCCTGAAGAAAAACATTCGTTAATTACAAAAACAGAAGCAAAACAAGAATATTTATTGAAGGATTGTGATTTTGATAGAAGAGAACCCCCATTAAAATGTATCACAAGAAAGAATCCTCACAATGCAACTTGGGGTGAAATGAAATTGTACTTACATTTACAAGTAGAACAAAGAGCTTTGGAAGTTTGGGGGTCGGAAGAAAAACTGTTAGTGGAGAAGGAATTGCGTGATAGTAGGCGGGAAGGGACTAAAATTAAAAAATTTAATAAAAAGGTAACAATGTTTAATATTATAATATTATGCTCGTGTTATATCAAAAAAGATAGTAACCACTCTTGTATGTGTATACATATATTCTTTGTTTAATAAGTTATTACTTTTTGGTGTTTAGATTAAAGAATTGCGAATGCAAGTTAGAAGTTCAATATACGATAAAACAAAAAAAGCATCTCATACACACGAATTTGGGGAGGACACATATAACGAGGAGGATGATACATATACACACACCTGCACTACTTGCGGTTACGAAGAAACATACGAAAAAATGTAAATTATAAATGTGTAACAAACATTGTAAAAATATTTTATTAGGCTGTGTGCTACCATAATACCTGCTTCTTTTATATTAACAGAAGGCTATTAATGCATGCAGAATGTGTACATGATATTGAAAGAAAATCAAAAATGATCACGTGTCGTATTATTAATTTATTATCATTTATTTTCTTATTGTTCTTTTGAAATATTTTTAATGGGAATTTTATACGTTTGTACTAATAAAGTTTATGTATAATGCATTTAAAATTTAAACGATTCTTCTTTATATTCAACATATAAAAACAAAATATATAATTTACAATTTTTATTTGCATTGTAATCCCATAATCATATGCAATTTTCTAGTTACGAAGAATATTTATTAGTTTGATTTTACTCGGTATACCACATAATGTACAGTCTTTGATTACATCATTCTTTACATTATGCGAATCCTGACCGATGAAATAACTACAACTAAAAATTATTATTGCACTATGTAAAAATATGATCGTGTACGCAAAAAATAATTTTTGCACAATGTTAATTTTATACAACCATCGTTAATCGTATAGTTCTTTGCAAATTTAGTATACATATTTAGTATATATTCATAAGACGTATTGGAAGATGAACATGATACGCATTAATATATGTACATATAGCGTATCCGAATCACTTTTATAGGTTAACTTAGGATCCATTTCACTGTTTTCGTTAAGATCATTCTATCCATTTTATTGCGTTTGCTTCTATTTCTGTTTTCACTTTTTGGTATATACTTTTTACGTACATGAACGAAATATTTCTTTGGAATATTACGTTGAAGCGGTCGTCGGACAGTGTACACAAGACTCTACTAAAACGTCAAACCGGAACCAATTTACGTACGATTAACGTTATGCTTTGTCTATATAATCCTTACAAATACTTTGTACAGGCTCTAACTTGTTTGGCACAGTCAATGTATTTCCCATACTACTTGGAGGAGCGATCATTGCATTCGTTACTGTAGTAGATGATCTAAAAAATAATTGTACATTATTAAACGTAACGTCTTTAAAACAGAAAAATTATATTATTTTATTATCAACATACCTATTGTGCCTAAGGTGACTTTTTACTAAATGTCCAGCTGTGAGAGCAGCCATCAATGATAATTCACCGGCAAGTACTGTAGCACATACAATTCTAGCTAATCTACTAGCATTTTCACCAGGTAGATCAGCGTTTGCGCCTTTAACACCCAGCATAGCTAAACACGCTCCTTGCGCAGGAAGACCGGTTCCACCACCGATTGTACCTATCTCTATACTAGGCATTGTACAGGATACATACAAATCTGTACCATCCGCTCCCCATGGTTCCATCAAAGTCATACAATTACTACTACCAACATTCTGTGCAGGATCTTGGCCTGTAGCTATATAGATCGCCGTTACGATATTTGCGGCGTGCGCGTTGAAACCGCCTACGCTGCCAGCTACAGCAGATCCAATCATGTTTTTGCTTATGTTCACGTCAACCAAAGCATGAACCGAGGTTTTCAATACATTGGTAACGACGTATGCAGGTACCACTGCTTCGCATACTACACTTTTTCCTCTACCCTGAATCCAGTTTACCGCCGCTGGCTTTTTATCCGTGCAGAAATTACCACTCAACGATAATATCTCCATATCGGGGAAATGTTCCTTCACTGTGTTCAACGACTTCTCCGTGCCTTTTGACAGCATGTTCATTCCCATAGCATCACCAGTCGTCGCGACGAAACGAATAAATAAATGCCTACCAGCGATGCGTACATGTATCTTTGTCAATCTTGCGAATCTACTAGTTAAATTAAAATTACTCTTCATTTCCTCAAAGTTCTCTGGGTCCTGCATCCATGCCATAGCCTCGCTGGCTCTGACGATATTTGGAAATCTTACAACCGGTCCTCTGGTCATTCCATCGGCCACTACCCGGCTCGTTACACCGCATTTCATCAAAGCTCTGCTCCCGCGATTAGTAGATGCTACCAGACATCCTTCGGTCGTAGCCATCGGTACATGATATAATTTACCGTCAATTAATAACGGACCGGCAATTCCAAGCGGCACTGGCACATATCCTACGACGTTTTCGCAACAAGATCCTAGTACCTTGCTATAATCGTAATCCTTGTATGGTACGTCAGGCAGTTCTCCGATAAATTTGCCAGCCTCTCCAATTATAAGACGCCTAATGCCGACACCACGTTCCATATCTCCAACAGCTTTTTCTAATTGATAAGCAGCTATATGTTTATGCCTAACTAACTCAATAACTTCTTCGTCTGTCAGAGCAGACGCTCCAAGCTGTGAAAAGAACACGATGTCAGAAAAAAAAAAAAAAAAAAATTAATTGTATGGTATATTCTTTTTCCATTAGAAATCTACTTACTTCGGATTTATATATTTCAAGACATTCTTCTACCGATCTAGGAACTTTCGATTGAGTAGACGAACCCTCGTTACTCGACGCGTCTATGTTGAATTGCTTGCCGTCGGTTTGTACCTCCTTGTCGATGAACTCCATTTGAGATTCACTTTCATCTTCGATCCAGTTACCGCCTACGCCGGACAACGGGAAAATCGCGGATCGCGTCCCGGGTAATGGTTCTCCAAATCGTTGACGCAACGACATATTCATGGTAGTCGTGTTCATGGTTTCAGTAGCAGTGTATTCGCTTTCAACTTTTTCCTCTGTATCGTTTTCCTCTTTGAATCGTAACTGTTTCGCGATGTCTCTCTTGTCTTCAAAGAAAATAAACTTGATCGCTAACGCAAGAAGAAGTATCAGTATCACGATATTGTCCGCGCTCACTGACAGCCAGTTCATTAAATACTCTTTCACTTCCGATGGATTCTCTGTTTTGTTGTAAGTGTCCGCTACGATGTGTGCGTTCGCAAGTGACATCTTACCTTCCACCGCGTGGCCATTTTCATCGTTCTTGAAAGGCCAGCGACTGAAACATACGAACATTTTATATTAAGACTTATCTGACTTTATTATCCGAGACTTGTCGTCATTTTCATTTTTAATGTTAATTTTATTTTTACGTATATATCGCATGGAAATTAATTTTAATTTAATCGCACTATTTGTTAATTAGAATAAGTTTAATCGCTAAGCCGATGTTTATTCATAAGATTTTCAGTTATGAAAATTTATCAAATAAATAAGATAACATGATATGGTGAGGTATCATGGAAACGTAATACGATAGGAGACTATCGATTCTTCGTTATTTAATTATTCATAACTTCGATCAAAGTATCTTCTAATACCTGCCGATTTAAAATATAGCGAGTAACCGCTTACGCTAGACGCATGCACTTTAAGTATATATGAAATATGCGATACATCATTAAATATGCCTTCGCAGACGATGTAACAAATCGCGTAAAGTATGGTAAATAAAACATATATTACTAAAATCTTTTAATGACGATGTTACGCGTAATAAAGATTTACATATTCGTTTGTGTCAACCTTCGAGTTTCACCATCGCGTTACTAAAAAAAGAATTCCCGAACCTCGTGAAGAGAACAGCAATAGATTACGAATGTTCCAGCGCTTTTTCTATTCCGACGAGCTATTTCGACGAAATTTCGAATTCGACGCAAAAGAATCAATAATTACTGTCATTCTTAACCCGGCACAGTCGAGTCGCGTACTGCTTCACAAGTTACCAGTGAAAGGGTTAAAGGAGTCCGAACTCCTCCGTGATACAATCTTCTTTTACAGAATTCATTGAATATGAATTAAACGTATTCTTATATTACTGTGTAATAAGTTGAACCTGACCCGTGGAAGTTGGGAATAAGAAAACTGTCAAACAGTAAAACGTCAATACACTCCGGTTAAAAAAGTGCACGCGGTAGGGGCAGATAGATGATAACTCCCTGACAGTTTCCTTTCCCTTCGCGCACGTTATCTGATGCTATAAGGGAACTCGAGGTAAAACGAGTACTATTCTCCAAATTCTTTGAATATTGTCGCGTTTTTATTTCTACCTTGTCGTTGAGCTCCAACTTATGAAAACAATGTATCGCTATCACTATCCTTCAATTAGAATTACTTTAGCTTTACCTCGAGATACGCAAAGTTATGGTTTAAGCAATCAGTTTAACCGCGATACTAAAGACTAATAATTGCCTTAGACACAGGAAACTTGATGAAAAGTTACCGTTCAGAGAAATATACTTTTGGGACGGCGCTTTTGTATCAGAAATATATGAGCGCATATTGTATTCCTGTGTCCAAACATAGCGACGCTATTGTCATTTAAATAACGAACCTATCTTTTGCGGGGGCCCCCCCCCCCACACACACACACACGTGCGCACGTGCAACATGTACGTAGCGTTTATAATGTACGATGTGTAGATAGCATTGCACGGATACTCTGCATGTTTTGTTGTACACTGTTACGTGTTGCGTTACGTATGTGTGACCTTAGTACGGAACTTTTGTAGTTAGAGGAAATCGTTTCCTATCGTATGAAAATATGAAAGGCTTTTTTACCGTAATTAGATAATACTGATGCGACGGTATGAAGATGCCGCATTTAATTAAAATGAATTCTCGTGCTTCAACTCCCCGGCGCAACAATAATACGTTACCTGTTTGCGTGCACTACGAATAGCCCAGCGATCATGATCATCTTTACGCGCTCCACCACCGGATTCGGCTTTTGATCTTCCTCGTTCAACGGATGCATCATGAAAATCTTGTCTGCGCTCAATGGTTTCATGCCATTCGTTCCGCGGGAAAGCTGGGATCAAAATTACAAAAATATGAAGCTCGCGATGGTACGCGTACGCCAAGTTCCGTGCTTCTACCGATGACAATTGTATTAGGTCGTCCTAAAAGTTCGTGCCATTTATACTTCTATTTCTCGAATTAATATGTGAAACATACTCTTAAGTGTCGCAAGAAAAGATAATCTGTCTCATTTCACAATAGTTTCTCACCTCTCTCAGATAGTCGTTATACCGTTGCTAGAAAATTTCTGTGGTTTTTTTTAATTAAATCTCGACACAGTCTTCGGGACGAACTTACGGGACGACCTAATATTATAACAATAATTCGAATTACCTCGAGGATAAGTGACAAACACGCAGGGTAGAAGGTCATGAAAACGATATAATTAACAAGAACACCGAGGCAAGCGAAACTGCACAGGATTTCCAATCTCTTAACACCGGATAACGATCCTATGCTGATGAGCAGGGTCTCCACCAAAGTGTCTAACGTGATAGTTGGTCCTAAGAGCGACATGCCGCGTGCGATGTTCGCTCGCACCTCCTCTTGATTTCGGGAGCTCAAAGCCAACTGCGCTAGTATAGCGGCCTTGGAGAGATCGATGATAAGCAAGAAGAAGAACAACGCATCCCTGAAAACGAAACGATACATTTAGCCGATAGAAACGAACGTTTCTCTAGGCTTTCGAATGAAAACTTACTTTAAATCGGAAATGTCGCTGCGTCCAAAGTTCACTACGCTAGACGTGAACACAACACTGGAGAAGACGGTGAATAGTCCAGCGATACCTAATGAAACGTTCCGTTCAACTGGCTACATCTTAATCATTTAAACTATAAGTACAATTTCAAACGAGAAAGCTACGCGGAATTCTTCGCGATTAAATTTAATGCAAATTCGGCGATTAATTGTCATCGCGTGTCGCACAGATTGAAACGGTATCGCTTTTCACGGTACTTTCACTGACGCCGAAAGCTTTCGCGCGTACAGCGATACTATTCGGCTGTACGAATAATCGCGATACTCGTATTCGTTATATTGGGCTGTCTGAAAAGTCCATGCCGATTTCTAGTAGGCGGTACCGGTCTGAATATATCGGAATACGCTGAAAACAAATAACACGTGTACATTTCTTAAAAGGTGGAAAAGTTGTGGAACAAAATGGTACGTATGTATAATTCAATAAATATACATGATGATTCAAATACGCCTTTGAATTTTTCTTAAAAATAGGGATGAACTTTCCGGACAACCCAATAATATGTTCCCCTTCGAACGCGCATTTCTACGTTTCTCGTCGTTGCGCGCGATTACTTACCTAATATATATTTTGATCCCAACTTTTGTAGATTTCGAAACTGATGGTAGGTAAATAGTATCGCTAGACACCGTATTATAGTCATGACTATAATATCAGCCGCGTTTAGGTCCTAATAAATAAACAGTCGTTAGACGGATGCCTCAAAATAGCGCAGCGCGTCGGAAAAGTCGCGCCGCAGCATGGGTGTCCGCTGATAATGCGATAAGTGCCGTTTTAAATAGTTGCGATTCAGGTGGAAAACGAAAGGGAATCGTCCCTTTATAGACTCATTTCATTACACAAATGAACCTGTTTTCCTAAGATGGTACGTCTCCCTAGTTGAGAAATGCTTGGTCTGGCATGAATTCAATGGTGCAACGCTTCACTATGGCGTTTTATAATAATTTGGATTTTTGGCCAAAATCATTACTACTGAAATTTTTAGTGTGCATCGTTGACATACCAAATCGAATAAAAAAGTTGGTCTGGCAGTCGGAAAACCTTGTTGGAAAAACGAAGTAGTTTGACTAAAATCATTAACATCCATTTAACACCGCTTACAATCCGCCAGGCCAACTTTTTTATGCGATTTGGTATGTCAACGATACATTCTAAAAATTTCAGTAATAATAATTTCAGTCAAAGACACTGTTATTTCTGACATGTTTACGACTTTCTAGCGGAGCGATGCACCGTTTGTGCGCTGCCAGCCTTGTTTTCTTTAGTAGAAAACAGTCAAATAGCAAAAGGATATTTTTAATGAAATTGGCCGAAATTTGATGTCGCAGGCTCTCGGACTATTACGCAAGCATACTGCGTTCGGATCTTCCCAACACTCTGTACCATCGAATTCTCCATGTTCATATCGATTCTAGGTCTTTCCAAGTCTGCTTACGTCCGTGTTACATCGACCACCTCGACAATGCGGAGCCACAGGAAGAGTTCCCTCCCGTGACTGTCCATTTCCGGTCTCCATGTTCAGGATGCATGCCGTAAGAGTAAAGGTCGTCACGATCACCTCCAAAGGATGCCCCGCGCAAAATCGGCCGTGAATCTCGAACAGTCGCGTCAGCATGTTTCTCGTTCCGGGCAACTATTTACGATCTGGAACACGCAATCATCGTACATTTCTCTTAAATGTTCGTTCGTTCAACTAACTGTTGGGGCATAATCGTAATAACAAAATTTGATCGCGATTACGATCGTATTTTAAGGTGTCTTCAGACGTAGAAATGTTTGTACATGAAAACCGACTTCAGTAAAATGTCAACTCCAAACGAGCCTGGACTAATCGTTATCGCAGCGTTCCTTAACGGAACCGCCAACGGTTTCGCTACTACAGAATTCTACGTGCTACGTACTATGACGCACCTCCTCGCGTACGCATCGCAACTTCCGTTTTAATCTAATCAACGAAACGTATTCCGTTATTGAAATTAACACACGGTGTTTGCACGCTTAAATTCGGCACGCTCTTACATTTCACGCGAGAAGTTCGTAGCTCGCGCGCTACGGAACCGAGTCCGATAGCCGTCGCAAAGAAAGCGACAGTGTACGCTTATTGAAGAAAGCGGTGTCCGTTCGCTAAAGATATTCGGTGAAATCGGTAGGGAAAACTTGCCGGATGGCTCCTCTTACTTTTCGAAACGAGAGAAGAAGAGGGTGGCGGGCCGAGTTAACCGCGGCAAAAGAAGATGAAGGACGGGATGTACCGCCGAATCGGGGAAAGCGATGAACGACGGACCGGTTATATTGCGGCACAACCGATTCAATTCGGTGTGTCACTAATGCTCCAAATAGTCATAATGTTTACTTTCAGTTACGCAAGACGGTCCGGCACGTGTGCGAGGAGACTTTTCGTCTCCGAACAAGTCGAAATTAGGGATTTCGACATACGACATCCGAACATTTTAAGATTTTCTAGTTAGGACGAGCCGTAGAAAGCAGCGAGGACTATAGACGGGTAATAATATCAATTCTGTTGCTAGAAATAGACGCGATCTTCAACGTTTCGACGTTAACGAAGACACCCACCCGAGTGCTTAACGAACGGAGATCGGTCTTCAAAGTAGCCTAAGAGCTCTTGCACACGACGATACGCGTATCGAAATATGCGTATGCGATACGTATCTGCTAGCAAGATACTCATGCGATACTGGATCCAACTAATTTCGTAGCTCGGTGTTGATCATTTGTTTTTCAGTTAAACATATCTTCTCGTTTGAGAAACACGCGTTCTTAGTTAGCGAAAACTTTTCTGAGATAATGGATGAGATTGAAGCTTCATCCATTTGGTTTCTGCATAAAAAAAGCTACTAAAAGGAGAAAAGTTCAGAGAAAATATTGGGTTCATCCTATTAATAATGTAAGAGAAGAAACGGGAGCTTTTCATATTTTATTCGAAGAACTTTGTAACGATCCACGTAATATTCTTCAATTATTATGTCTAAACATTTTTTATGAGGAACGTGAACGAATTCGACGATACTGCGCAGCGTCGTGCGAATGCTCGCAGCATCTATTTCGCAGAAAAAGTTGCCGGCGGCCGACCAACCGCGGATACCGAAAATCAGTATCCGCGATGCTGCATCTCGCGAGAATCGCCGTCTGAACGCTTCCATAACATTACGTGTACCATCGGTATCCTCCGTACGCGTATCGTCGTGCGAAAGAGCTCTAAGAGAAACGCGCGTCAGGATTACGAAAAACATTCGCGGTACGAGGAATGAATATCGCTCCAGATATATTCTCATTGGTACGGCCGTACAGAAAGTAAGGTAATTAAACGTCGAGTATAACTTGTAAGAACGAAATGTCTGTCAAGGTCGGTAACTTTCCAAGAGCTCCTGAGAACATTTCTATACTCGACTGACCACTGACCTCTTCTTACTTTCAATGGGACCGCGGTTGAAAGCGCCTATTCCATTATTTTGACGGCGTACTGTTATTCAAATAAATTCCCGTCAAACGTTTCCGGAAACGTCGCAGAATCCGACGATTTCCTTCGAGCGATAAAACTCGAAGTTGAGCGCATCGAGGCCCATAAGATATTGCTTTTTTTGCTAGTTACCAGCTAGTTACAGCTTTCTAATTATTATTAATGAAGGATTAGATAGCCTACTAAACAATAAAATACATTAGAATTTCAAACGCAATTCAATTATTCAGAATATGCACTTTGTAACATCAACTGGACTGACGTTTGCGCATCGATTTATCGAACATTTAATGTCGGACCCTGGACACGATCGAGAATCGGGTACAGGGCATGTTGCGTATTCGTTATACAAACAATCGTCGGTTTTCCCAAATCGCAACAAAATAATAAGAACCCGAGAAATCGCGACATTGGTTCGATCACGTATAAAAATATTCTGAATAAAATCGAAATTCGAATTCTCCAACCGGTTCGCGTTCGACCATGACGTTTTTACGGCTACGATCTTCGTCAGACTTGCGATCGTTTCTTGGTCTTGCACGCTCCCGAAGTAAAAAACTGTGAGAATAAGAAAGAGCGTGAAAGCCACGGGAATAATTTTTACGTCATGAAATAGGTAGAAAGTATGACCAACCGTAACGGATACCGAATGTGTAAACAAATTACAGTCGCGACGCGTGTCTTCTTCTTTTTCTTTCTTTTTTTTTTCTAAAACACTTTAGAAATTTTATTTTTAGCTGGCATGTTCTTGCATATTTCAACTCTTATCGTCTGGAAGGAATTCCTTGGAATTGAGAACGATAACCTTGAAAGTTTTAGAGCCAGTCACTTCGTTGAACCTAAAAGATGGTACAGTGCACACGTAGCGTTTCTCTTTTGAGAATAAATATACACGTTAAATCTATAATTGGATACGGTGGATGCTTTTCTGTACGAGCCTCTCGTTCAATCGCTGCTAATTATTTACAAATTTCTGAAAAACAATTGTGTATATCCTTAATGATAAGCCTATTATTCTTGATATTATTATTATTCTTGATTCGTGTTTTGTACTCTCTTTCGAAATTGTTTTGTCGCATTGTATTGTATTTCGTATGTTGTAATGTAAATCTATATATGTACCGATAATATGCACAGCTATGTGCACATTGCTAACAATCCCGTAGAGGGTTTAATAGCTTTAATAATAACAAAAAAAAATAAAAAAAAATATAAGCGTGACTCTCTACGTTTAACGATGTTTATCAATTTTCCTCGACAGCGCGTACCGCCGAGTTCATCAAATATAAAGAGTGACGTGCTAGTACAATTTATCAGCGCGTATAATACAAGTGATACAGAAAATTTTGTTGACCCTCATAGATACATATTTTATGCAAATATTTATCGATAAACAATTACTTTTATTTTTAAAAGGCAACGCCAAACGACCCGTCACTCGAATACACGAAACGAAATGTACAGAAATTTAATCGTTATAAGTAAAAACAGTCCGCAAATGATATCGGCCCCTCGATAACTCGTTTCACACGATTTAATAATGCGTTAACCGTGGTAGCGCCAATTTCGATCGAGCGTACCTTGATTCGGGCGCACGAAGATTGGCTCGACGAATTTCTTGACGTACAATGCGCACGTGGTCACGTATCACACACGTATAACTCAACAATTTTGAATAGAGATTTCTAAGGGAAAGGCTTCAATGCGAAGAAACGATTAGTGGAATGAGACTATCGTTTAAACATTTATACATGCATCAGCGGCTGTGACTCAACGCTATGAATTAATAGAAAAATATTTTATAGATGAACCGAAATAATAAAAACCAACATGGAATTAAGTCCAATGATCTTGGATGATTGTTGAATAAATTTAAATCCTTCTTTTTTTTTTTTTTTTTTGTTTTTTAAAGGAAAATACGTAAAGAAAGACATACACAAAAAGTAATCCAAAAATCTATTTACAAAAAATTGTCGAACTTGTTTCAAGGCATTTGATAAATAAATCGATCGAAGAAGAAAAGTTAAGCAAAAAACGCAATGTTTAATTCGATGTCAGATTTTTTTCCTCTCAGACGATAGAGATCACGACCTACAATCACGTGAAAAATAGAAATAAATAAACAAGTACACAAAACGATACTAATGGCACGACGCACGTCGGCCAACAAAGCTGGGCTACGCGTGAACGGGATAATAGACCCTTCAGGAAATGATCGTCATTTTTCGTTTGTGCTCGGCAGTCTTCGTCTCTTTCTTCCTTTCACGAGCACGTGCACTTGTTTCGCGGTAGCGGTATAGTTCAAAATTGCGAATTTCTGTGTCGCTAAACGAATACCTCGGCGCAATCGGTTCGAGCTTTTGGGATTTGCAGGAGCATTAGAAAAACAGGAATCCAGTTATGCGGTGGTTCGTACGTTGGCTTTCGATTCATTTCATGGATCGAGCATTAAAGCATAGCCGGAGTCATCGCTCACTCGAATCACTGCAAAGAGTAAAACATATATAGAACAACGAACGCTCTCTGCTGAATTCGAAAGTCGAGCTACACGCTTCATATACTAACGATTCGTCTATTTTTACAGAAACAATATCAGTATCGCCCACGCTAGTCTGATCGCTTTCCTCGTACAGAAGTCGAACTGCTTTCCCTACACGAAAAATGTAAATAAAGCTGGTAACGGATCTATATATACAGGGTGTCCCAAAAATGTTGGAGGTCTTTGTAAAGGGTGGTTCAGGGGGTGATTTGAAACAACTTTTTCCTTAGCGAAATTGTTGTCCGAGGCTTCGTTGAGGAGATATTAACGGAAAACACTGACCAATCAGAGCACGCGTATGCCGATGGAGCGGCTGCGATAGCGATGGCTACGCGCTAGGTAGCCGCTCTCGTACGCGAACAAGTGACTCGACGTGCATCGAAGGACATTGGACGCGGCCGCTCAGCGCGTAGCCTTCGCTACCGCGGCCGCTCCAACGGTATCCGCGCGCTCTGATTGGTCGGCTTTTTTTTTATTAATATCTACTTAACGAAGCCCCATCCAACATTTTTGCAAAGGAAAAAGTTGTTTCAAATCACCTCCCGAACCACCCCTTTCAAGAACCTCCAACATTTTTGGGACACCCTGTATAGATCCATCCAATACCGGCACTAAATTAAGAACAACAGATGTTCGAAGCCCGCCGAAAATTGCGTTTCCGCTTCGGAGAAGTTATCGACATCGTCATACTTACGCGACACATCAGATGTTGAAATTAATATACATATGTATAAATACGTAACGTAAAGTTTTATTATAATCCATTAATCTGTTCATACGTCAATCGTATTAAAAGTACTTGGTTTCTACCCGGAAACGACTGTACTTTCGTATAATCGCGCTATAAGGATATCACATCTGACCTGTTTTACCTCATTACGTTTCAAGAAACTATGTAACGAGGCGAAGTAGCAAATTTGAGAGAGAAAAAAATAGATTCGGTTATCTTTCAAAAATCTTATTAAAAAGATCTGAAAAAATTCTCAAAAATGCGCCTTAGGATCCGGTATGTGTCAGATCTTTTTCAGAATTTTAGAACGCATTTGAGACCGGAAAACACGCCGAAAAGCGTAAAATCTGTTTTACCCTGTAACTACCCTCACGGGCAAGCTAGAGAGATAAAATTTTACTCGGAAGGGTTTTCCTTGGTCAGCTTTCGAATGATTCAAGAGCTATTGAAAAAGCTCTAAGGGCAGTTTTGATCATCTTAATCGGCTAGGCCCTTTATGGAATGATCGGAACGTGTAAAGGAAACGAAAATTTCTCGAAATGGCTCTCACGAGCAATCGATGGTCACTCACAGATTTGTTGTCTCTTTGATAAGAATAATTTGAAGTCCGTACGAGACACGGGACGCGTATGCCGTACGCATTTGCGCGTTTCTCTCAAGAAACGCGCGCGGCATACTCATTCATTGCGTCCACACAATCGGCTTGGAAATCCCGGGGTAGCCGACTGACAATAACATATCTATGCCGAATTAAATGATTTAATATAAATACATACGCTACAAAACAACAAAATCAATGCTGAAAAGTGCTAGTCTTATAGAAGAAAATGTTAAATACTTATCAATGTAACAAAATCTATAATTGTTAATAATTTAAATATTTAGTAGTAATATTTACTTTTCATAAACAACCCTCCATTCTCAATTATACTGGATACCTAGCGTTGTATATAGAATTATATTAATGAACAGTTACATAAGAATAGTTTATTATCTTATTAGTCTTCAACTTTCCTTTGTTTCTTAATGTGCCACCTTCAATTATTGCCATTTACATCTTCCAAAGTTAATAGGCGTGCTAGTATCTAGAAACTAGACACTGTATAAAATGTCTTACACTTTGTTAAATTGAAAAAAGTATAAAATTGTGTGAATACGAAATTCAAACATTTTCTTAGACAATTAAACGTTAATGAACAAAATTTATGAATAAAAATCACAATTACAAAATGAAGTATCAGATGAATAGTAAGATTATTTTTGAAAACAATAAAATTATCCAAACATTAGAGGAGTATAACCTACAAAATGTAAAATGTGAGAAATAAACGTACCGTAAAAACTTGTCCGAAGGTAATTTAAATACGTTTTAGATTGGCATTGTTTCAGTATAAATCAGCATAACAACCATTTATGTCTTGCTTTTTCCATTCTAACATTGCACATCAATTAACATCTTACACACCACTCTTCCGACAGCGTTGGACAGCCGTACTGCACTGCACTGTACTGCACTCTTTAATACGAATTCAGTGACATCTGAAGTTTTTTACGCGAACCACCCGTTATTTAAAATAACTTCTATGACAAATTACTTATTGCACACTTTCCACAATTGTGGCCTTTTCCTACTAATTACAAACAAATAAAAATGTTTGTATAAAATGACCAAACAATAGGCACATTAAGTAAATGAAACCTGCAAGAATGTATTTAAATAAAAAGTATTAAAATATTGAATTAATACATGAAATATGTCAATGTTAGCCAGATAAAAATAACAGTTTTATTTAATCAATATTTCATATAATCTACTTATTTACATAATTCTTTGATTAAGATAAATTATTTGTAACTTATTATAGTCTATAATAAGAACATCCATATTTTATAATGCTATTATATTTTTAATATAAGTATGAGGTACCAACTTCTTGTTCAAACTTCAATTTGTTTTTTGTACTTCAGCGGAATGCCTGGCATGGTTCATCATAGATTCTACTCTGTTAGCTGTTTCTCTCACTACATCGGATATTTCATCTGGTAAGTGGTCTAACGTGGGAATGTGCGCGGATAATCTTTTGTATACAGAATCTCTGTTTCCATCCTTTTTATGCCGGCGTTGTTCCTCGTATTTTAATTGTTGTTTAAAGAATATTGCATTCTTTATAAATTCCAGAGTGTTCTCAAAACTTTTTCCAGCACCGTGCATTGTTTTAATAGCGCTAACAGCATATTCTACATCGTAACATCTACCTAAAAGCTGCTGCTGCAATGCTAGTACTTCTACCCGTTTCTCCACCATAGGAGGCAATGCTTTCCGCACATGTTCTTGGAGTCTATAAAATGCAAGAGACGGCTCGTTTGCAACTATGTGCATATTTTCAGATATCCGTTCGGTTGCTAAAAGAATGAGAACATGTTATCAATAGTAAACCGCTGGTTGCAGAAATCTCATTTGTTAAATTCTGCAAATATTGAAGAAGTTAAGAAGTACAATATCGTCTCTATATTAAATGTGAATATCCTAACCTTTCTTGACCTTTGTTTCCAATTCCTGATCCGATTGATATATTTTAGCAGCCATTGTCTAACGTATTATACTAATAACAATGTTGATTATTGAGTTTATACACTGTGAATTAAATACATCGAGTGCGTCAGATTTTAAAATAGTTTCATATAACTCTCATTAAATAGAAAAGTATTTCTTGCTACTGTTACGAACATTCTTGAAACACTTCATGTAAATTGTATTCTTCTGTTAACATTTACAATACATAATATTGTACACAATTTTGTTAAATATTTCCATCCAAATTAACGAAATTTATAATGTAAACACTTAACGACAGATCGATTTGTTTTCACCGCCATTTTATCGGAATACCCGTTACCGGAAGTTAATCGTTTACGCGACGGTATTTTCCTTCATCGAAACGTGGCAGCAAAGTATGTGCTGTTGGCACTTCTCTCAAATGTATCTTTCCAACTCTTCCCATGGAGTAATCTTTTCATTACCGTGAGTGACACGGTTCTGTCATACGAAAAGGTAAAAAGCATCGAATTATTCAATAAAATTTTAACTGAAACTATTATCTTGATCACGAAGGCACATTTAACGTAATATAAAATATTTATCGAAAATAGACTAGTTTTTATTTGAAATGTTTCAATAAAAGATAAACATAGCACTTGACTTTCTCGAATATCATTGATTACTCTTCTTTTTTGAATAAAATGTACATTATTTTAGAGGTTTTCTAAATTAAATTAATTAATTGCTTAAAAATTTGTTCATTTCTTAATAGTTATATCGATATCATCATAGCATAAGTTACAAGTAATAAGTAATCGGCATCTTTAGAAATAATTCAAGCTTTGAACAATATTGTATTAACGAATAATTATTTTAATATTTTAGCATGAAGTGGCATATAGTATTTGCAGCTTTTGCTGCTTTAGCTCTTACCATACATGCAGAGGAAGAGGAAGAAGCTGCAAAACTACTAGTATCTAAACAAATTCTTAACAAGTACCTTGTAGAAAATATGGATATTGTAATCAAAGTAACTAACAATGTTCTTTGTAATCACTGTAACCTATGCTTAACATCTTTGTCTTAACATATAATCTGTTTGTAGTACACAGTTCACAATGTAGGTAATGCAGCTGCATTGGAAGTTGAAATCACAGACAATTCTTTCCATCCTGATCATTTTACACATGTGAGCGGAGAAATAAATGCAAGGATAGATCGTGTTCCACCTCACACAAATGTCACTCATACAGTAGTCGTGAAACCACGTATATCTGGACATTTCAATTTCACATCTGCAGAAGTTTTATATAGACGTAAAGAAGATGCACCTAGAATGCAATTCGCTGTAAGCAGTGAACCTGGTGAAGCAATTATTGTATCATTTAGAGATTATGATAAACAATTTTCTTCTCATGTGGTGAGTAAATATAAAAATTTCACAAATATAATTATTATTATGAACAAGAATAAAGTATTAAATATTTTTACTTTAGGTCGATTGGGCTGCATTCGCTGTGATGACATTACCTTCGTTAGCTATTCCTTTTGCATTATGGTACTCAAGTAAAAGCAAATATGAAAAATTACTTAAAACATCAAAGAAACATTAACCATACAAATTCGTCCTGAGTCATTTGAAGAAGGCGTTTTTCCATATACAGTTATAAGAAACTTGACTGTTCCATTATGTACATCTAATTTTATAATAAACATTATTTATAAAGAATTTATATTCATTGTTTTGAATCTGATAAATACATTATTAAGGTGAAATATAAGTATATAAATTACAAAAAAATATTAAAACTCGCTTTATTTTTTACAGTTATAATACATGTTACTGTCTATGTAATCTTATACTTAAACAATATTAACTATTTCTTCCTTAGTAAGTAAATGGAAATGATACACGTGTATGGCATCAACGAGTGTCACAAAATATATTAAAAATTATTTCATTGTCGAGACAAATTAGATAAACCTTGCATAGTATACCGAGTAATTAAATATCACTTTAATTACGTAAATTATCAGCTATATGACTAGGAACCATATACCTCAAATTTATAAAATAAATATAATCAACTGTATGAAACTTCTACATGGATTTTTCTATCGATTATGAAATGATATAACCTAAAATTTTATATTACAAAATATACATGACGTGGTATGTTCGTAAATTAATATTGATTCATATCGTCGATATAAAAACATAAAAATCCTTAGCTTCTAAGACTAATTAATCTCCTAATAAAAATGAGTTTATGGCAGTAAGGCACCAGTTTCTGACAATCGAATATTTGTTTACAAACAAATCTAGTTAATACGTCATAGCTTCGTAATAAGTACAGTGTATCTTTATATTGAATGCGTCTTTCTTTTTTATTATCGTATTTATTAGGTATTCAGTGATCTGTTTCGCTTGCTTGCTGAGAAAAAACCACGAGGATCGCCGTAAACAGGGTCGAATGCCGAGAATGGTCTTATCGGTGTAACGGGACTCCGAGGTGTAGACATATTTGTACTGTTTAGGGTAGTTGAACATGGAGTACTAGTCTTTTTTAACTGCGGTGGACATTTATCAGCTGCAAGAAAGGTGTAAGTCATCTAACTAGCTACTTATAAAAGTAAAAATCTATCGATTACATTATTCCGATAATGGTATACATACCAAAGACGGTCCTATTTTTAACATTTAAATCGATATTTGCCATTTTGTTCTTCCATACTGTGTTAAAAAACAAACGAAATGTTTATGCGGCAAGTTAAAGACGTAATTAAGAATTAAAAAAAAAGGTTTACCGTAAAAGCATGTAATTACAAGAACAGCAAGTGTTCCAAACGTGTAACGGTGGAAATACATGTAATCCACCCAATGAATTCCAGATAGTGGTATGAAATTTTCATATTTTGTTATGCGCACGAAAAGCTAAAGAAATATAAATTATTAATATGAAACATAATTTGAATAATTATTTTTATATTCACTTACAGATATATTTTGCTTTGTAATATCGTTTGCAACGATAACCTTTTGACCTTGAATATCCTCCTGATTATTTATCAAACGTAATTTGTACTGCATTGTAGATTTTGAAATATATTGTCGGGCACTTATAGTTATTCCATCCGGTACATCGATCTAAAAGTAGTTAATGTGAAATAACATAGTTCCTTATTTAATTCAAATCAATACTTTCATAGATTTGAACTCACTGTAAGATGATCTAATACGGATGGCAGACCATATATCTCAAGTGTTGCAGTTGGTACGACTTGAGAATGAGTATTAAAAAAGACAATTTCTTTAGCATCAATATAGACAGGTGGAAGATACGTTATTTCTAAAGGTACGGCTTCAATGTCTCGGTTTTGCGCATTTATTTGCATACGACTCTCTAACGTACTGGAAACTATATTCGGAGAACCCATAGGTATTACATCACAATAATAAAAGCCTGTAATAAAATAATTGTAAATAATAAATTAATAACGAACATCTTTATAATTTTTTAAATTAAATTAATATGAACCTGTTGTAATATCAAATCGTGGCTTAACAAGAAACAAGTCTTTTACTCCAACTGACGCGGTAGATGAAACAAACTGTATATTACACGTGTAGGGAAATGAATTTAAAGTGAATGATGTAAATGTCCTACAACCACCTAAACCTCTAGATAGTACATTGTTTTCTTTAACTTGCTCGTCTTTACTCTTCAGTACAAGCGGAATGCTGAACGTTTCAGTTCCAGTAATATTTCGACCCCTCAGTGGAACAATTGATATCTATATTCAGAAAAAGGCATTTATAATTTCATGAAATGTTAAAGACTATTAAATTAGTAAACGGATAATACCTTTGCAATAGGTTGTATATTGACTTCTATTTCACCCTGCATATGAGTTGCGAGGCTGTGTTTCACAATTGCATATCCTACATTTTTTGCTCGTCCTATTCCTGTAATAGGATCTACTGTTAATACTTCTGGAGCTGAAGATTGCCAATAGCCTGGATCGCCATCAGAAGCAAGAAGCGGCATCGAGAAACATACTATATCCCCCACTGTCAATGTTGTCTACAAAATAATATAAAATTAATCAATGTGTAATATTATCCTTTATATCGAATGAAAATATACGTCAATTATGTAAAATACCTTTGTCGGGAAAACAATGTCACCGATCATCATGTGCACGTAATCAAACATTCCGTTAGGATACCTTTCATTGTATGCCTTTACAACGAGATCTCCATTTTCAATGAATTTTGCAGTGACTGCATTTACAGCACTTATCGTAAATGATGCTAGGTCAGCGCGATTCAACATAGTGTTAGCATTAATTTCAGCAGCATGAAATTTTGTTCCAACATTATCGTAATATTCAAGAGCATAGTCCAATTCCATACCCTTTGGTAACATGTTTAATTCTTCGCCATTACGAATTCGCAAAATCGATTTTAAAGATATCATCATATAATGAATAGGTTTAACCTATGATAAAAAATAATTAGAATAATAAATGTCGCCTGATGATTCACAAATACATTTATACTTAAAAAAAAAAATACGGAGTCCTTACTTCAACAATAACAGTAATTGATTGTTTCATATTATATGCTTCCGTATTTGTAATAGAAATAACTATTTTTCCAAGATTTTCGCCAGCTTTTATGATGCCATTTTTGTCGATAGTTACTGTTTTAGATGCTGGAGTTAAAGCATGAGTATCCTCTGAATCATTTCCATGGATAGTTGACAATACTTTGTAAGTAGTAGAACCATGTTTGTCGCGATTTGTTTGCAATTTCAAAACAGAATTCGGGGACATCAATATTACTGGTACATTGGAAGGTAATCCAGGATGCGTCAAACGCAATTCTTCGAAGATTTCAACTTTTACAAAGGTAGTGTAAGTTACATCACTTTTAAAGCCAGCTAACATGTTACATGGCATTGTAATATTTAAATAAATGGTTGCTAGTCCAGGCCCAATAGCTTTGGCTCTCAATGAAACTTCGTTTTGATATCTGATATTAATACCAGTACCTTCGTACATATTATGCAAAGTAATTAAATTAGAATCACTAGATGACCACATAAAAATTAATGGTAATTGCATAGATCCTATGATAAGTGGAGTTAAATAATCTGGAATACCAAACGCCCAAAGCGGGAACGTTGCACCCACTTTTATTCTACTCGTTGGAACAACAATTTTAATGCCTTCGAGATACAGGACATGTATGTCAGTATAGTCTTCGGAATAAATGACTTTGCTACCTCTGGCATTAAGACCAATGGCTCTAACAATTATTTTTGTTTGTCCAACTGATTTTCCTTCGAATATACCGCTACGATCGATATTCAGAATATCATTATTTTTCGTAGAAAATTCAATTTCTGCATTTGACGGACCTCCTATTGTTTGCACTTGATAGACGGTGCCTACTAATATCGTTAGATTCTTTGGAAAAACTCTTAAAGGAAGAAAGACTTGAATAGTTGCTGATTCACTCTGTATTTCTTTATCACCTCCCTTACTTACGAATGTTAATTGAGATTCTCCTTCGGCCATGCCATATATCATATACAACAATTGATCATAAGGAGGATTGCCATGTTCGCTAGAAGGTAATTGTTTAACTTCTATACATTCGTTATTGACTTCGGCTTTAAATTCTAACACGTTCAAAGATGGCAATTTTATTATATGCCCGTTTGTATCGTAAAGTTTTAATGCAGCCACTATGCATTTCCCTTTCTCGATTTTATTTACCGTTTCTATTTCTATAACAGCAAGCTGCTGTATTTCAATCACGGCTTCAGCCGATTTTGAAGGTAAACAAAGATCCACCAAAGCTAAGTTAAGTATTCCAGATGTTTTGGGAGTTATGCTAATTGTTTTTGTTGACTCTATATACCGAACATCTGCAATGTCATCCGTACTCAACACAAATTCGTAATAGCCAGAACCTTGACTAACTTGTAAATAATATTTTGCGGTAGGATCATTTAATACCATCAATTTATTAGGACTAATACTGGTATCATTAACTAAAACTATTTGCACGGAAGCCTCTATAAGTGGAGTTTCATAGATTCTCCTTTCAGTTTCAATGGCAAATGGTGGCCATTCAGGTATTATTTTCAATTTACTCAGAATGTATTTTTGATAACCCGTAACAGTAGCTGTTAATGTAAGAACACCAGAATGTTTTTTGAAGATAACATTTTGATAGTAATTCTTTGGTAAAACTACATTCATATCTGTAAGCGTTTCTTCCCTACATCCGGGAGATGTTGCAACAAAACCTACAGACGAGGGTTTTAAGCTCCATTCAATGTATAAGCTCGTAATATTATCAAAAGTTCTGCCTTCTTCGTCTTTTACTATAATAAGAAGTTTTAAATCTTTATCGCTATGTGCCATTACTCTCTCGGTATTAAGACTCATAGGACAATTTTTGTTATCTTTATATTCAGGTTTCAGATAAATATGTCTGGGTTTACCACAAATAATTCGTACCGTTGCAATTGCGTACATACTTTTGCAATTTGGTAGTAAAGGAACATTTGAAATTGTGTAAGTTAAAACTACTTCCCCAAGAGCCTTACACATTACTTCGAAAACCGATAGTTTGTATAATTCATTTGGTAAATCTTCATGTTCAATTACCTCAGCAATTTTTGGGTCGGATACCTGAATATTTTGTAAATAACTTTGAGATTTACTAGACCGTGGTTGGGGTCCACCTTTGAAAACGATTTTTCTCGAAGATCCCACCGCTAACAAACTTTCTTTGCTACTTGGATGTACAGCTACTAAAGGCTCATAAGCTGACACAGTGATGTTATCAGTTAAATATTGACCATTAGCGTTATATACTACTGTTACTTCGGACGTTCCAATATCCATACTAGTAATTGTTATAACGGCACACGCAATGCCAATGGGTTCTACAACCTTGCTATCATTTTGCATAAAGTTGCTATCAGGTATGTATGTTTCAAAACTGATATCTCTACAATCGTTGAAAGGTATCTCTTTGGAGTCTGACCCATTGATTAACTTCCCATATAATGCAATGTGAAGATAAATTGGTTCTCCTACAGATACCTCCATACTGTACTCTACTACTTTTAGCTTTGAAGGTGGTAATACGTATACCCTTGCTATATCTTTATTATACTGATTTCTTGTCATTGCCACACTTATTTCTGTTGCACCTGCACTTACGATTCTTATCCCGCCATTTTGAGAAACTGTTACTATGGATGGATGTCTACTCAACCATACATACGATCCATCTCCTCCACTTGCTTTTAACACTATATCATATCTTGATTTCGCCTTAAAATCCCATGGGACAGCCAACACTTTAGGCTGAATAGTGACTGGAGTGTGAATCAAAAGCTCAGCTCTGGTAGCAGGTCTTGATACAACCGGGATCTTTTTACCATGTTTATCGATTATACCATAAAGAGTAGCTTCAATGGTCATTGTTCCACATGTAATAGGCACACCGACAACGTAAGTACCGTTTTGTGTTACTGATTTTGGTTCAAAATAATGTTCGTCTAACTTCATCGACACTTCTACACCTTCTCCAATATAGAATTTATGATCTTTATTATCATATAATTCAACTATAATTTCATGAGTGTGACCAAGTATTAAACCCCAATTTCTATTAGGTAAAACAGCAAGGGTAATGTAAGCTACATCGTTTACATTGACCATAGCAGATGGCAAAATAACGGGATATTCGTCACGGACATTTTTATCGTGCAAAAGAACTTTAGTGCGTCCTAATGATTTGGCATACGCATAGTCGTGATCATTATCAATTTCTAGTATGTCTGGAATTTCAGCTTCTAAATAATACTGGCTGGACGGCAAATTTATTTCTTCTAAGCGACCTTGACGAGCTTGCATTATTTTATATTTAAACCTATCGTATGCCATTACTGTTATGTCCGATGGAATGATAATTAAATTAGCTATTACAATCAATTCTACTTGTATTGGCGGTACATGTTTATATTCCGGATAAGGTAATCTTACAGAAACCTTTGCTGTGCCAGTTTTTATTCCTTCTAATAGCACAATATGCCCAGTCTTGCCAACTGCATCTAAAGCAGCAACAGTCGAAGGAGTTTCATAATGTGATTCTTGATAAGTTATAAATCTCAGAACATCAGTTGATGTTTTACCATCTGGCATACGTTTATCAGCATTATCTATACTCCAAAAAAATTCAACTCCCGCAAGTGTTGTAAATTCATTACCTGTAATAATTAAACGTATAGTTTCATTAAATTTATTGATTACAAACTTAAAATTTAAAGGTTGTTGTATACCTTGTTCATCGTATGCTCGTACTTCAAATGCTTCTGGTGCTTCTTCTATGTATAATTCTCTCGTAGTTGTGACAAGATTTAAAGAAAAAATTGCATCAACAATAACATCACATCGTAAAAATTGTCCATTATTGACATCCTCTGCCAATACTATCGCTGTATTTCTAGTAGATTCTCTTGTTATAGTTTGAATTAGAATTGCAGAGGAACAAGTCCGTTCAACATTTTCATTTATAGGAATCAACTGAATTATATCCAAACGTGACGTTGACCTATAGTTAATAGCAAAATTGTAATGTCTTATTCAAGAAAATTTTCAATTATCATACATTAAACCTAATTTTCTCATAACAATTTAGAAAAGAAATATTGGAAATACTAAAATTAATGGGGTTATAGAAAAAGTTGATTTAGAAGGATTACGATTACAATAGTAAGAATGTTTTAAAGCAAATACAATGTTTACACGAACCAATAATGAAATAGAAATAATGTAAACAGAGAAACACTGATTACCATTGATAGCAAGCACCATCGGTAACTTCGAGTGTAAAATTTACAGCGAAGTCATTGAATACCGGCAACAAAACTCTAGGCACGTTTAATCTATGTATGGTAGCATTTGACACCACACTGAATAAAATCAAAAGTACAGCGAATATCATTATTTTAATGAATACTGCCGATCCAACCGTAAACTTCTCACGTGTATCGTCGCGATCGTGACGACTTGATAAAGTTGGCGGTCTCTAAATAGCTTTCAAACCACCATACGCATTTCGATACGATTATCGATATTCGCAATCGATGTTGGAATTGCGCCTACAAGTATTCGATTTTACTGTAAGGAAAAAATAATTTTGCGCTACACTTTTATTGTTCATTCAAGTAACGTATAATAACGAATAGTAACGTATAATATTACATTTATATGTGGTTTGCATGTAAAAAGTGTTTTACAAGTTCTTTAATGTGACCTATCAACAAAGATTCTAAACGCACCCAACATTCATGAGAATACTGCTTGAGTGAGAAACTGTTGATTTTCTATCTGTCTGTCACTAATTCTTGTTATTTGCTAAAAAAATTACGAGCTGTTGAAGTCCCATTTATTCGATAAGAAATTTTGCACAAGGTTATGTGTATGATAATCAATGATCGACATGTTCTAAAACGTAGTCCGAATACGATTACCGATCGATTACTTTGCAAATTTTAAACTGCTAATCGAGTAACCAGCTACGGATAGGGCAGCCCGCGTCAGGGTAACTTTAAATACAGTATCTCGGGTATGTTGAGTTTATCTTAAAAGCAATCAACATCAAAGTCGTGAGATTCACTTGTAAGAATGGCCGATGAAACAGAAACAGTTCGACTTACCAACGAAGATATCGAGTGTATGGAAGCAGAAATAGACGGTGACGATGTAGACGAAGAAGGTTCCGACGGGGTTGTAGTTCCAGAACTTCAGGGTACACTATCCAAATGGACAAATTATATACATGGCTGGCAAACTAGATTTATTGTTCTCAAAGATGGTACTTTATCTTATTACAAATCTGAGCAGGACAGTGGATTTGGATGTCGTGGTTCGATAAGTCTGTATAAAGCTAATATTAAGGTACGAACTGATATGAAGTAATTACTTTTATATACATTTATTTATTGGCTTTATAAAAAGAGTCGTGATATCACTCTACCACCTGTTTTGTTAGGCACATGAATTTGATGAATGTAGGTTTGATGTATCAGTGAACGATTGTCTAGTATGGTATTTAAGAGCAAACTCTCCAGAAGAAAAACAACGTTGGGTAGATGTTCTAAAATCTTACAAGGTATTACAATTCTATTTTTTAGATTGAAAAGAATATTAATACATTTGAATATGTACAAAATAGAAGTATTTGTGTTTATTTTAAATAGTCAGAATCTGGTTATGGAAGTGAAAACAGTCTCAAACGTCATGGTAGTGCCATTTCCCTTGTGTCGAATACACAATCTATTACAAGCGCTGGTAGTTTCACTAAACGTGGTGTTAGAGGATTAAAAGAAAAATTAGCAGAACTTGAAACCTTCAGAGATATTCTGGTCAAGCAAATTGATACTCTGCAGAAGTATTTTGATAATTGTGCTGAAAATGCTAAAAATATTTCCATGAAAGGTACGTGAGACAATAGTTTTTGTTTATCAATACTCATTTATTTTACAGTCATCTGTTTTATAATCTTCATACATTTACAGATATTTTAAACAAATGTCCTTTCAATTGACTAAGAGTTGTAAATGTTGAATAAAAGATATTTATTTCAGAAAATAAAGTTGAGAAAATGTTTGATCCAGCTGATCACTCGGTAGATTTCAAAGGAGAAGCAATAACATTCAAAGCAACAAGCGAAGGTGTACTTGCAACATTACAACATTGTGTTGAGTTGATGGTACAAAGAGAAGATGCATGGCGTCGTAGATGGGAAAAAGAAGTTGAGAAAAAACGAAAAGTGCAAGAACTTTATAAAACTATAAAAGATCAGGTTGCAATGCATCAAGGTGATTCTCCTAGACCTAGGGTTCTTATCCATGGAGGTCCAGATTATGAGGTTCGATTACATAATTAGTAACAAAATAATTAGTAACATAGAACAGTCTAAATTACATAACATATTATGTTATTGCACCAAAAATATTTCTGTACATAACATACTTTTGTGCCTTTCAAATCACCTCTTTATTTAAACATATTCAAATTTTATATTGAACGTCAGCTTTGCATATGTGTTCAAATGCATTTTATTAACAAGGACATTTTCATATTTCACACATACTTTGTGCTTAGAAATCTAACTTCAAGATAATACTAACCAGAGTGAGTAAATGAATTTAACTGATTCAGAGGAATTTTCTATTCACACATCTACATATCCAGTAAATTTGAAATTGTGTAATTGAACAAAAATTTTAATTTTCAAGGAAGGTCCGCATAGCGCGCTCTGCGACGAAGAGTTCTATGATGCGGTAGAGACTGGATTAGATAAGATTGATGAAGAAAATCAACTGAGAGATCGTTTGAAACAAAAATCAGTTTCAATTGTATCGACCGCTACTATGTCAGCATCTAAGCACAGACTTTGGCCAGAGGTAACTATTTCGGTTTTAAGATAGGACATCGTTATGTAGTAATTCAATATCTTTCGTTTTATTTGTGTATTAAACGCTTTTACAGATCGAAAGAATAACGATGCAACAGTTGCATTATGCACGTCTTGGAGTAGGAGCTGGTGGTTGGCAATTATTTGCCGAAGATGGTGACATGCGAATGTACAGACGCGAAGAAGAAGCGGATGGCTTAGTGGTAGACCCTTTAAAAGCCTGTCATGTTGTGAAAGGAGTTACCGGTCATGAAGTTTGTGACATATTCTTTAGTCCTGAATACAGAAGCGGATGGGAAGCAACACTCGAAGACATGACCGTGGTTGAAAATATTTCTAAAGATACTTTGATATTTCTACAAACACATAAACGAATTTGGCCAGCAAGTCAAAGAGATGCATTGTTCTGGTCTCATATGCGTAGAGTGTCCGACGATCAAGATCCAGATGCACACGACTTGTGGATAGTCTGTAATCACAGCACAGAACACCCTGATTATCCTGTAAGCTTGACTAAAAGTTAAACATTTTTAATCTCATTAAAAATTGATCTACATCGGAATATTTATTTCCAGCCAAACACTGGAAAATGTGTAAGAGTTTATCTAACCGTATGTCTTGTATGTCAAACTTTTATCGATCCTCCGAAAGATGAAGAAGAAATAAAAAGAGAAAATATTACGTGCAAAATAACTTACTGTTCTGTTGGTTCGTATTACATTTGATTATTTCTTTTAGAATTTAGTACACGCGGAAGTCCATTTTAATATAATACGCATGTAATGTCTTATCTGTCAATTATAGTTAATCCAGGTGGATGGGCTCCAGCATCTGTTTTACGTGCTGTTTATAAAAGGGAGTATCCAAAGTTCCTTAAACGTTTCACTAGCTTTTGTATTGATCAATGTAAGGATAAACCACTTACATATTAAGTGTAATTTATACAAATTCCATATTTTCCATCCAATTCCTTATTTACTACATCAAAGTGTCTTCGCGCTTTCAATGGTGTAATATATCAAAGAAGAAAATCAGAATTTACACAGTATAGAAATTTGGAAACAAAAACTACTTCCGATATAAATGAAAGTGTTTTTTATATACTTTTTTTTTATTTCCTTAACGTGATCAATATGTGTGTACATGCACGCACACACACACGCGTGCGCGCGTATCTCTCTTAGTGGAACAGGATGCAAACTGTTACATTGAAAGTGATTTATTAAAGCGTAAGGAAACTCCAAGATAAACTGTAATTTCAACCAAACCCGCTAAAGCACTGTTTAAAAATTATATTTACGTCTTTAAACAACAGCTTGTTATTTTATTGTTATACAGAATGCTGTCGCAAGCCACTTGTACAGATCTTAACAAATCGAATACATACACATTTATCTATTGTTACATTATATATCCAATTAAATACGAAACTGTATAATAAAATTATATTGTTATTTTTATTTATATATAACGTGTATATTGATACACAATATAAAGGTCAAATGAAGAAACATAATAAAGACTGTTGTAGATTTGTCATAATTGCATTGTACCTTTTGCTTTAATCCAATTCTTTGTCATTATTGAATAGTTACTGTACATTATTGAAAATGTATATTTCTGTTATCACATAGTATTTACATATTTTGATTTAAAATCCTATAATTAAACAGCACTAATGATTAAATATGTACAGGATTTAAAAATTAGTGGAAGAACTGTCATAAGAAATAAATTTATTTCTATAAATTATTTAACTAAAATTATAAAACTAACCTATATTATATATATACATCATATAAAATGCTTTTACCTCACCCTCTACTTATTATATTAACAAACTGCTTTTTCACATGATTACACAATACTTAAATTAAGTTTTGTAAAATTGATACAAATTAGCAGTAAACATACTTTTGTTTACAACTTTTGTATACAAATTTTGCATTTAATTTTTAAATGACCAGGTGTAAAAAAAAATGGGTATTTCTTTTCTATATTTGTATGACTATGTTCTTTAGGACTCATAAGAACCTAATTTTTTTAGTACACTAAGACCTTTTTCTTCGTATTCTTCCCTTGTTATCCATACTGAATCGCGATCCTTTGTTATTTCTGCTAATACAGCACCACCCATAAAAACCATATGTTTACGCCTAGGAGAATCCTCAATTTTTATCTTAAATTTCTGAAAACATATTTAAGAGTATAATATGAATATATCTTTCTCTATATTAAAATTTATGGAAAAATATTAAACTGTAATTACATTTAATTTTGAAGTATCATTCTTTAATACCCTCTGTAAATAAAGCTGTTTAATTTCTCTTTCGAGTCTAGATGGAAGACCTGGATACATTGTACTACCACCACTTAGGACAATATGTTTATATAATTCACTTCTTATATCGATATCAGCTGCTTGAATAGTGGTAAATACTAATTCAGCAATTCCCTGAGCTTCAACATTTATTAAACGTGGTTGGAATAAAGCTTCTGGTGCTGCGAACCTTTCACCACCTACTTTTATTACCCTTCCATCAGGAAGCTAGAAGAATTTAAAAATTAATTACCATAATAAACATCTGTATCTCCTTACACATGTAGAAACTTACAGTATACGATTCAACTAAGACTGTTGTTTCAAGTGCTAATTTTTCTTCAGTCTCAATATTATATCCAATGTAACATAATTTTTCTTTTAACATCCTAACAGTCTCAAAATCGGCTGAATGATTAAATGCATATCCACGTAATAAAAGAAGTTTTATTAAATAAATCGTGATATCTCGGCCAGCTATATCTAATCGCCGAGTAAGATGGTGTAAAGCATACTCTTCAAATACAGGACAAATATGAGTGACTCCATCTCCAGAATCAACCACAACACCACTAATTAATCCTTGAGCATATAATGTAAGTACTGCCTGAATTGCAATGTATGTTCCAGCAAAACCATACTTCTCAAACATTACCTAGAATCATTTCATAAAATCCTAGATCAAGTCACAACATGCAAAAAATTTATATTCAAAACGCTTCTACCTCAATCATTTTCTCTCTATTTGTAATAGGATTCATTGGTGGTTCTGTTAATAAAATTTTACATTCTCTTGGATTAATATTCATTTTCTCCTTTCCAAAGGTGTAGTCCCAAACATGACACATGTCCTCCCAATTTCTATTAAGTATTTTAATCATTTAATAATTTATAATCTATATATTTTATATATAATATATTTGCATACACACCTAACAATTCCATTTTGCATTGGATAACTAATCTCTAACATGGAACGAAGTTTACTTGCTTCATCTCCAACCATTAAGTCCTGTAGTAATAACATATGACTTAAATTTAACTATGCATATAAATTAAATGAATACAAAATGTTAGCATTCTAATAATTAAACACACTGCTCTAACTTCTTAGGAAATTCAGAACACAAGCAATTGCGAATAAATAATAAATATACCTGTTCTTATTTAAAAATTTTTATTTTTATCTTCCTATTATAAAACTTTATTAATATTCAGTACATACCCGCTAATTTTTTAATATTTAAAAAAAGAAAGTATAATGATGGTAAGAAATCCTATTAATAGGCGAGTAAAAAAAATTTATTTATATTTATAAGCACTGATATAATATCAATAGATTTACATTATCATCAAAAAATGCAATAAACTTACAGGCATGTTAAGCACATCCTATGAGAGCAAGTGTAAGCACACAAATATATTAGATAATTATAAAAAATACAACACACACACTCACACACAAAATATAAATGTCAACTCTGTAAACAGTTTTATTTTTCAATATATCAAGAGCTTTATATATTTAATAATAAATCTTACTTTTGACATGTATACTCCATTTTGATTAGTATTTAGCTGGATTATAAGTTAAACATTATTTATATCAATAGACAAATGCATAAATTATTTTCAATCAAATTTAAACATCAGAGCACATATTGTAATATGAATTGACTTACACGAATGCAATATTCTTGCTGAAAATTAAGTGAATAATTAATATACTACTTCAGAATAATTGACTACAAGTATATATTTTAAGTAGTAAAAAGTACTTTCAATTTTAAAGTGTAAATATTCAAAAGTAATTTAATTTCAAAAGCTTTCTTCATCTATTTTGTTAAAAAATGTCATACGATATCTTTACAAGATATAAGAAACATATACAAAATATAAAGTAATAAATTTTGTCCAAAAATTGTTGGCGATCCATTCCCACATAATCGACTGAAATCAGGGCAAATAACCTAATTCATTTATTTAGGAAAGTAAGGAATTTACCTTCACGTCGATATCGCCTATCTTATTGACTGCTCTAATAATAGGACGTCCAACTATAGATGGAAATATGTGCTCTGGAAAATTTGCTCCTGCATATCCACACTTAACAAACTGAAAACAAAAAATTATGCTATATACAATACATTCTTCTTCAATCGTCCAATATTACTTTAGCAAAAACTAATGTTGATAAAGAAATTCTGGGAAATATATTTAAAAGATACAAATGGAAACTAAAAACAAAGATAAAACTGTATAACCTTACCCCTGTTCCATTATCACAAACAATGATCTTCCTGCCTTTGCTATCCATTTTTAATTTGAGGTTGTTACTGAAATCGATTTTTTTCTTCGTCACGTTATTTTTTATTACACATTACACGCTCTGCGAAATGACTAATTTTTGCGAGTTTTAGGGCGTTACCGGCATGACGGTTTCAAAACCAATGACAGTTATATATACAAGTACTTCCGTTCACATTAAAATGCCTGATAAGAGTTGTTTATAAAAGGGTTGAATTGGAAATATTCTCGTTTGTCACGAAATCACTTATAATTCTGAGCAAGTCGATGGCACAAACTAGCACAAACTCACTGATCTTTCACCATCAGTTTCTATCTCCGACCATGTACGGGGTGTCCCAAAAATGTTGTAACACCTTGAAAGGGGTGGTTCGGGAGGTGATTTGAAGCAACTTTTTCCTTGGCGAAAATTTTCTTCGAGGCTTCGTTGAGTAGATATTAACGGAAAACACTGACCAATCAGACCGCGAGGATGCCGATGGAGCGCTCGCGGTAGCGTATGAGCGCGGCCGCCTGGCGCGTAGCCTACGCTCAATCGGCATACTCGCGCTCTGATTGGTCAGTGTTTTCCGTTAATATCTCTTCCGTTATTGTGCCTGAAAATAGGGAAAAGCTATCTAGTAGTTCACCTACTCTCCGTTGGTAACGCCAATTTACCTCCTGCGCACCTTTAAACAAATTTAGTAGTTATTTACGGTTATTTAAAAATTATGCTCCTTTTTTAAACGTATAGTAACGATACAAGAAATATCAATTATACAAATTATTATCCTTTCATATGCCATAGAAGGATACATTTATTTTTATTCACAGTTTCTATGGTAACTGTTCATTTGACTGGAAAGCAATTTTGAAAAACTATTTTCGAGAAATAAATTTTTGAATGGTACTTTCTAACATTCATAGTTTCAATTTTATAATAAATAAGTTGAAAATAATTTAAAAATGTTAGATAAGTAATTTCGTTGAATGTACTGATTCTTTGAGTTCGTTTGATACTAAGGCTACTGAAAAATATTGAGTACTAATTTAGTGGAATTTTTCTTTGTTTCATTTATTTTTATTTAAAAGATGGTTGACTTTATTGAAACTTCTAATTTGGAGGATATTACACATGCCTTAGAAGATATGGACAGTTTAGACATGGAATTATTTAATGATTCATTTAAGAAATCAAAGTCATCTACAAGTATTTTTAAAGATTCTAATGCGCAATTGGATGGAGAAATAAAAAAGAAAGTCATATTTAAAGGTGACTTGATATTTTAAACAGTAATAAATATTTGAATGATTTGATGGAACAAAAAATAAAGCAGATACATATTTAACTAAAATGCAATTTCTTATTTCCTTCTTACATTGTTTAAATCAATTTAAAAAAATTGACAAATATTGTTTGTATGCAGATCCTTCGGAGGATGATTCGTTAACTGGTTTGCTATCTGACGAGGAAATTTCTTTAAAAGAAAAGAAAAACTTATTTGTAACTGGTAGTAAAAGTAGCCTGATGGAAGATTTGTTTAAGATAAAGACACCAGGTCCATCCACAACAAGTATCAAATCAAATAATGAATTGGAATCAAAACTCAATTCTGAGCACGAAGATGTTAATCAATTGTTTTCACAAAAACCAAGCAGTCACCTGACTTCTAAGAATAATTCTATTTTATTAAAAAGTGAATCATCTGTGGAAAAACATGCACAGAAGCTAAAAAGCTTATCTAAAACTGAAGAGGATATTTTAACTAATTTAATTGATAAACCAAGCATGGTAGATGATAAATCAAGGTCATCATTAAGAGAGAGCTTATTTGAAAATAAACCTCGTTCATCTGCTACCATGGATTTTGTTATTCCTAAGAATACTAAAAAAGAAGATTCAGAAATTTCAATAAAATCTGTAGATTATGTAAACACTGCACAAAAGTTGAAGTCACAACCTCTTAATGAATCAAGTAAACTTTCTACAAAAGAATCTCGTAGAGGTAGAAGGAATACAAAAATCATAAATGATCCTCTTGGTTTATTGCCAACTAATTTGCTCTCTGACCAAAGTTTAGAACTGGTAATTATATTTAAATATCGGCATACAATAAAATAATCAGAAATAATTATTTTATTTCAATTTTTAAGCTAACAAATGAAAATGTGCCAACTAAAGATACTACTACACAAAATCCCAGATTAGATGAAAATTTACCAGAATGGTTGGGAGGTACAAAAATAATAAGTCAAAAACAAACCAGTGAAATAAAGGATAGTATAGCATCAAAGGATGAATTGTCTGATAAAGTTGGAAAAGAATCTACTTCTAAAGAAAATATTGAATCACAGGAAAGGCTCTCGACATCTACAATGAAAAGAGATGCAACAGAAGTAAGTGGTTCAGAAGCTGTACATGTTCCAGAACATTTTTCATTGTTATTTAGTACACAGTTTAATCAGCAAGCTGCAATTATGACTATGCAGCAACAAGAACACGAATTAAGAACAGCAGCTATTCTTTCTCAACAAAATGAACAATTGAGTAAGGTATCAGATGCTCAACATTCCATACTTGATCATCAAGAAAAGCAATTTAATTCTCTCCTAAAATTACAACTAGAAAAGCAGCTTTTACTGGAAAAACAAATAAAAATACAACAAGAACGAATTAATCAATATATTCAAGTAAGCATTTCTTGAATGTAACATTGATTTCCTGTATGACAGAATAATAATAAATAAAACTAAAGTATACTTTGTATTTTTCTTTTTAAGACATTAATGGCTCAGCCTATTTCAATATCAAGTAATACATCAGTTTATGCATCATGCAAATCAGAGGAAAGCGAAAAATATTTAGCACATGAGAAAGAAGAAATGGAAAATACAATAAAAACGTTACAAATAGAAATATCTAAATTAGAAAGTACATTATCCACTATAAATGAAAGACATGATAATGAGGTGATTTATCAAGCGGAATTCTACAAGTAAGTTTTTAATTGGTTTATTTATACTACAAGTCTGAAGTAAAATTTAATAAAAAAATTTGACTTTCAGTAGGCAAATTTCATTTTTAAAAGAAGCGATGATAAAAGTAGAAGAAAGAGCGAGACAGGAAATCGAGCTTTTAGAGGCAGATTACATGGTGAAACTTGAAAAATTAAGAAATGAAAAAATAGAAATAGAAAATCTGTACAAAGAAGAAATTCACAACTTAAAGGTTAACGGTTTTATATTTTATTCAAGTAACATTTTGAATAACATTGAATTTGTACAACATAAAAATGTTTAACCAGAATGAATATGGTCAACGTACAGAAGAACTTAACAAACTACATTTTCAACATGTGGAACTCGTGCAAAAGGAATATTCTAATATAATAGAAAGTATATGCACAGCCAAGCAGTCAGAAAATCAAATAATAGAAACTATAACCAGTAGAAAGATTGATATAGAGGATATGTTGGGAAAAGCTAATGCCATTATTGAAAGTATGAAGAAGAACAAAGAAGATATCGAACTCAAAAATAATGAAATAATGGAACGCCGAGAAAATTATTTAAGAGTATACGAGGATGATATAAAAGGTATTTTTGAGGTACAATGTATTACAAATTAATTTAAAAAGAAATGTTATCCAATAAATGTTTATAGCTCAACAACAAGAATTAAAACATCAAAATAGTGTTTTGGAAGAACATCGTAATGTATTTATGAAAACAACTGAGCAATTCAGCACTCGTCTCACTCATCTTATAACTGAATTAGAGAAACAAACTACACAGAGCAACCAAACGCAAGAAATGCTTGAAAACAAAGCAACAAACCTTTTACGAGAAAGAGAATTGTTTGAAGAAAAAGTGAAGTGGGAAAGGCATTATCTGCAGGTATAATTAAATTAAGTTTGATGTTACAAACAATATAGTAAACTTAAATAGTTAGTGTAATCTGTCTACTGTCAATGCAAATATCCATTTAATATTTATACTATGACTGTAGACATTAAAGGAATCTTGGATGAAAGAACAAGAGAGACAGTTAAAATTACTTACAGAAGAAAGAGAGACAGTAGCAGCAGAGAAAGCACAACTAGAAATTCTAAGTAGACTAAAAACTGATAGTGGTAGTGTTGCGAAAATAGAGGTACAGAATTTGATTGAATGTTATATGAAATCCTGTTATTATATTATATTTATAAAATGTTATGTACTTTTTTCTTTTTTACATAGTTGCAAGCTGCCATTAAAGCTGCAGAGGAAGTAACTGCCTGTGCTAATCAAGAAAAACTAAAGTGGCATGACAAAATTAATGAACTTAATGTTTATAAACAGGTTTTGCAAGACAAAGAAAATTTGCTTATTTTACGTGCCAAAGAACTTGAAAATCTTACACAGGTAACAGTTATCATGGACACGTTTATAATGTTTTTAAAGACAAATGTTATATTGTTTTGCCATTTTATAGGCAGCTTTAACTAAAAAAGAAGAAGGAATAAAAGCTTTGAAAGATGCAAAGCATATAGAAAACGAAAGTAAAGGAACACTGAGTTTATTACACATGCAGCTTAAAGCATTAATGGAAAGAGAGAAAAGATTTGCTGATGAACAGTATAATGATTCAAAGTAAGTACAGACATCATATATATATATGTGTATAAATATATTTAAATGATTTACGTTTACGATTAAAAATTATTTCAAAGAGGAAAGATGATATCAGTATCTTGTGAAACTGAAAAACCAGAACGAGATATAAGTACTCCATGTCATTTTCGAAATGAAATGTTGCCTTTTCCTATTACACATTCGACATCCCTAATCACATCAGAATTAATGGTAAGAAAATATTTATTTTTTTAAAATCTACCAATTCATGATATACATCTGAAATATTTTTTGTTATAGAAAATCGTGGATCCAAATTTAATTATGCTTAAATTGAATCTCGATGATCATTATGACACCATTACTTAGCGCATGTAAACTTTCGATTAATACATTATAATCCAGGAGCCAATGTACATTTTTTTCACGTTATTTGAGGAATTTATAAATATTAAAAATATATATATATATTCAATTTCTATAAAAAGATAATGTGAATTTAAAATATAGGACAATATTCTTCAAATTTCCATATCCTCATCTATAAACAGATAATTGAATACATTATAATTAAGTTATAATCATTGACCATGTAAATATATGTATATAATGATTTTATATGAAAATTAAACTTACCGGTATCAGCCAAATAATACTGCAATATATCTGCATTCCTTTGTAATGTGTTTACTTCCGTAAGTAAAGATTTTATTTTAAATAATTCATTTCCTACGTACTTTGTAGAACATGTCTAAGATGAAAGCAGAAAATATTGAATATTTCAAATGTCGTTTTTTAATTTAATTAATAAAAAGTAAACTTACAATCTCATCCATAAGATCTACAAAATGCTCATCATTATGCTCTATGCTGACATCAAAATTTTTATAGACAGTCTGAAATTTATTTATGAAGTTGGCAACTTCTGAGAACATTATTATCGCTTGCCTAAAAATGAATATTTAAAAAATGTTGTAGAATATAGAAAAATACTCTGCAAAACATATCGTACCGATGATAATTATGTGAAATTGGTAGTCCCTGAGTATTTTCAGAATTATCAATACATAAGTTATATATCGAGTGTTTATGTGTTGTTAAACGCTGAAGATTCTTACTAACAGTTTCCTTACAATCACTCATCTCATCTGTAATACGTACATAATGAAGTATAGATTTTTAAATTATTCATAGAAATGTAAAATAGAAAAATAAAAACCTTTTATTGTTTGTACCGTGTCTATAAGATTACTATATTCTGATATTTGCTTTTTTTTTATTTCCGCGAACTGTTCTTCGCGGTTTGCTCTCTTTTTATGCCATAAATCGATCATTTTCTCAATATTTTCCATTCTACATAACCTCAAACTTTAACGTAAACACAATACAAAATTTCAAAAATGTTTCCTTGTTTATTGCCAACCTAATGAACCTAATCAAACCCTAAATTTAATCATGAGGACCAACTTGAAGGTTAAAACAACGATTTCATTAGTTTCGAAATCAAAGAAAAAAATTATATAGGGCAGATTACGATTTCTCCATTACGTTTAATTATATTCATTATAAATATGATATCATCAAACTTTAAATGAACATAACCTTTAAACTTAACATCATACAAAACTACTGTTTACGGCATTGTATGTGTGATAAATTATATTTGCAAAAGTTATAGAAATAATTACATTATATATTATATGTCACTTATCTTTATTTATGAAACATTTATAAAAGATAATAAAAAATATACTTATCAATATAATATTTAAATGATTGTATCACACTAATGTTGCTTATTAATAGTTAGTACAATTATTTAAAACAATTAACTGGTCTCTTTTGTACACAAAATGTGCAGATATTCCATTCAATCTTGCTCTATAATTGCATCAGACATATCAGAAGGAGTAGTTAATTGTAATAATTTCTCATTTGCTAAATGTAATAGAGATATAAAAGAAACTGGGAAACTTAGCGCTTCTCTATTAGTTTTTGATAATAGATTCGGCAGTTCTTTATAAATCTGACTAAAATCTTTTTTGCCTTTTACTTTATTGTAAGCATCTTGTTCCACATCTTCTGTATTTGCAATTCCACCTGTGGTTAAACATTTCCACATGGATTTTTTCAATTCTCTCATATCAATTTTCTTTTGACGCGAACAATGCGCGATCAATAACTTATTTGTTTGTTTGGGAGCAACAACTAAATTATTTCCAGTAAGAGGACCTTGTGTTCTTAACATACTTTCATCTGTTGATCCAATATCATTATTAATTAGATTAGGTTCATCAGCTTCATGTACTTCATTGTTATTTGACTCAGACAAATAGTCTATGTTATTCTCATTGTCATAATTATCATTGTCTATGTCTGATACATTTTTACGATTCATTTCATCTTCGTATTTTGAATACCTAAACATTTCAAGAAGATACAAAATGCTAGCTTGTTTGATATCATAATGTGCATCTAGTGGTAATGTAAGTTCTTCCTCATTCCAGTTCTGTTTAGCTGTTCTAACACTTATTTTAAGTGATTGACTTGGCACAAATTTATCATTTAGGTTTTTAAGCGTTTCATTATCATACATCAATATTATGTCTTTTCTCTTCCTGGCCTGTGTTTGCCGACACGTTCCAATTATATTATCGTTACTTAACATTTTGTTCAAATTTGTACATTTCCAGTGTGTGGGTCCTGCCCAATGTATGTGTACATTTTTTTGAATATATGAATATTCTGAAACTTTCGTCGATGCTGACGTAGTTACAACTTCTCGAAAATCTACAATATTCTGTACTTGATTAGAAGTTCCAACAAATCTATTTACAATTTCCTCTTCGTTCACTTCAAGATCATAAGGATTTCTACTGGTATCTGAAAGTTCATTATCATACGATACACTTGCATTAAGATCAAAGTGAAATCTATTTTGATTAGTTTCTTCTTCCATAGTCTTCTCTGCTTCAATATCATCTGCATTCCAACTTAGAAAGTTAAAGTGATGAATGAATGGACAAATTTGCATATTTGAAATGTCTTCTATTCTTGGAATGCTTACATCATTACATTGTATATCTTTACAATTTACCGTGTCCACCAAAACATCATTATATGGATGTAAATAAAACCCAGAATTTGCATGGTTAGGTAATGTTACTTGATCCAACATATCTGTACTTTCTAAATCTCCACTTATACTTAATAGAGAAGGTTTCTTAATTTCGACAGTTGTTCCTAAAGCTTCCACTGTGATACATATTTGCTTAGTTTTCTTTTTTTTGTTCTTTACTGGTACTTCTAATTGACCTGTATCATTTTCCTGAACATCCATTGGTTCTATAATGCTTTGAACCTCTTTCTCTAACCCGGTCATCATTTTCAGTATTTCCGAATGAATACCGTCAACTCGAAATCCATAAATCTTAGTACTTACATCTAAAGATGTACTGGCTACTTGTAAATTAGACATATTGGCATCCTGTTTCTTGACCATGTATGTCATGAAGTCGATCATCTCTAAACTGAATGCATTTTGCGGATTAATTTTATTCTCAGCTCCCAGTTTTATACACTGACTTATACGCTCTATCATTTGAGGAGTTGGTATATTATTTAAGGAGCTAAGGCCTAAGGACAATCTTCCGGAAGACGGCAACGTTGAAGTAGTAACATTTTCACGACGACGAGCCAAACGTTCTGCTTCATCGTCATTTTCTACCAGAACTGAAGAATCTACTGATTTCTGTGGAAGAACTGATTTCCGTCGCAACGGAGATGAAGAAACAGTAGTATCCATTTTGTTGCTGTATTTAGGAGTTTACGTTTCAACTTTCGTGACATATATTACTGAAAATAAAATATATGCCAACAAATTTATTTGATTCGTTAGCAACTTATTACTCGAGCATACTTAGTGGCAATTATTCCAATTATCTATGTGTATTAAATGTATAATAGTATTTACAATGTATTCAAAATGTAATAATAATTCCTTCATATAGGTTACAAATTCATTTTTCGAACAACCAAATACAATTTGAAAGAATTCAAACCTACTGATCACACACTGATTCAAACATTTCAAACATGTTTACGTAGAAGACCTCAAGCCTCAAGTGAACTCAGTCAAAGTTGTTCTCACTTCTGATTGGTTAAACTAATTGTACCAGAATTTCTATTGGTCATATAATTAAATTTAAATTTCAATGTTATCGTCTTACGAAACAAATAATAATTTAATTTGAATTCATTTTGATCAAATGGTATATCACCAGCTCAGCCACAAAATATAATTGTTAGACTGGTGATCTTTATGCAAAATAAAATCTTTCCAAATGTACCTACAAAAATTGAACCTAAATGTATTTTACTCCGTAAATATTATAATACGAACTGTACTTTCAATATATTTCTATATTATTGCAAACTATGTGCATTTTGTAGTTTTTGCGCATTCAAATTTTTTAGAAATGCATAAAAATCCACAGTCTAATAATTATATTATTCTACATTTTATTATTATACTAGCAGCTTCATTTAGCTTGCAAAGCTTCTTCCTATAATAAATTAATAATAAATGGCCAAACGTATCGCGGCGACACCAATTAGATATCGAACATTTACGAAATAAACAGATTTTCTGCATATTTTACAGATAACAAAATTATCCATATCTAGACGTCTTCTAACGTTTAAGGCAAGAATTCTGGGGAGAATTTTACCGACATAAATTTATCTAATCCCTAACGAAATAAAATTCCTTCCCTCTAACTCTCTTTCCTGCTTTTTCCGTTCTCGGTTACGTCATTCTAGCGGTGTGTAGCAGTGTGTTGTTTGGTGTAGTTCATCGCAAAATCGCAATATTATTTCCTAGAAGCATATTTAATATGAAGCCCATTCGAAAATTGCATCGATACTTTTCTGAATGCCTTTGAGTACACAACGACAGATTGTGGGCTTGTGCTTGTGGTCAGTTTGCGGATGCTAATAATAATGTAGTCACGAAGAACACCTCTCGCAATAACGTAAATTGTAATGAATACGTTAAGTAACATGCGTGAACGTTTTCTGGCATAGATTGTGTAGATTAACCTTATCAAGTATTTATATAGCGTCCTTAGAGTTACATAGAGCTATGTGATTATAATAATTTAACCAATAAATTTGTAACTCGAGATACCATGGAGGTTCTGTTGTTACTAAAATCTATTTTGTGTGCTTGTCAGTGGTCAGTTTCAGCTATTAAATCATAAAATGGTAAGGCCAAGTATATTTCTTAATTAATTTCGTAAACATAATTATCGTGCATGGTTTAGATTGTACCAATTTCCTGTTTTAAATCATTGTTTTTTTTAAGTCATCAATTAAACATTTTTATAATCTCCTTCATAATTGTATGAAATGTACATAATGCAGATGTAATTTTTAGATATTTTAATTACTAATTTTTATTCTGCCCTATTTCAGGGTGCAAATATATCACAACTAGAGAGAGATATTGGCTCTGATCAATTTCCACCTAACGAACATTATTTTGGCTTAGTTAATGTAAGTACAAAATATGAATGTAATATAAATGAAAGAATATAAAAAATCATTCAAGTAATAGGAGGCAACTTTTATATTGTTTTAGTTTGGGAATACCTGTTATAGTAATTCTGTGTTACAAGCTTTGTACTTTTGTCGACCATTTAGAGAAAAGGTTCTAGAGTATAAAGCTCGAAATAAGAGAACCAAAGAGACATTACTAACATGTTTAGCAGACTTATTTTACAGCATTGCAACACAGAAAAAGAAAGTTGGGTCTATAGCCCCTAAAAAATTTATTGCTAGATTAAGGAAGGAAAAAGGTCAGTGTTAATATATATTTTTTCTATTAATATTTCATTAACTTTATATGACTTTATTGTAGAGGAATTTGATAATTATATGCAACAAGACGCCCATGAGTTTTTAAATTTCTTAATAAATCACATAAATGAAATAATTTTGGGTAAGCATGTTTATATAAATATATATGTATACTTTAATAGGGAAGTATTATATTATATTTTTCTTCCTCTACATTTCAGCAGAGAGAAGTCAGACTAAGCCAGTTGGTGGAAAATGTGGAGCTGGAGATGCTGGTTCGCCAACAGAGCCAACATGGGTTCATGAAATATTTCAGGGAATTCTGACATCAGAAACTCGCTGCCTTAATTGTGAGACTGTATCTAGTAAAGATGAGGACTTTTTTGACCTACAGGTCGATGTAGATCAAAATACTTCAATCACCCACTGCCTCAGATGTTTCTCCAATACTGAGACTCTTTGTAGCGATAACAAATTTAAATGTGATCATTGTAGCAGTTATCAAGAAGCACAGGTACCTCTAATGAAACTTTATAGGAATATTGTAACATAAACGTGAAGCGATATTTAATGATATACTTTCCTTGCTCTAGAAACGAATGAGAGTTAAGAAATTGCCAATGATACTGGCCTTGCATCTAAAGAGATTTAAATATGTGGAACAATATAATCGTCACATCAAAGTTTCCCACAGAGTAGTTTTTCCTCTGGAACTTCGGCTCTTTAACACTGTAAGTATTTTATAGTTACATAACATTAATCGTGTCATAAAGTACTAATCTACGTTAAAATACATATTATAATTAATGTTTAGAGTGACGATGCGGTAAATCCAGATAGATTGTACGATCTGGTCGCAGTTGTGATACATTGTGGAAGTGGGCCTAATCGGGGACACTACATTTCCATAGTCAAAAGTCATGGATTTTGGTTGCTCTTTGACGATGATATGGTCGATGTAAGATTTCGAGCTTATGTTATCGCAAGTATTTGTTCGCTATCGTAGAAGTATTTTACATGTATTAAATTTTGATTATAGAAAATTGATGCATCCACGATAGAAGATTTTTACGGACTTACATCAGATATTCAGAAGAGTTCTGAAACTGGTTACATCCTATTCTACCAATCAAGAGATTGCAGTTAGAATTTAATATAAATATATAGTAAATAAATTAAACAAATCCTATATAGTAATTTCATATTTTATTAAAGTACATTATATAAGATTAGGAATGTTATATGTTAGATTATTTATAAAAGCAAAGTATATATAAATAGATTCAATTAGATTTTATTTGTAAAATATTAAAAAAACCATTAGCTTTGTCGTTATTCACTGATGCAATGCCTTGATAAAGATCAATAGTCTTTGTTAAGGGAAGTGGTCAGTCATGATTTACATAAGAATTATTTATTTTAATTCTAATGAGAAACTAGTCTATCTTTATAAAAAGGAAATCATTTGTTTTATTTTTAGATCAACTTATCTAAGTAATTTAGAAATGTTGGGAGCGCTAACAGATTCTATGTGTATGTAAAAAAGTATGACTGAAAATAAAACGATTGTTATCAGAATTTACTACATTATAAGTGTACATAAATTAGAATTAATCTTTTTTTTATCAGTATAAGAAGTAACAATGTATCACTTTTATTTAGAAATAAATAGTATGTGTATGAAAAACAATCCAGAACTTGTCAAAACATGTTTATTTAAATTTTAAGCAATAAATTCATATGGTATAGGAGCAAGTAAGACAGGTTGTTCACGTCCTGATACAATGTGAGCTGACGAAGGTTCTGCGGGTTGTCTTTTCAGCTGAATTTTGATGTTCTTGTCCTTTGCTTGTTTGCGGAGACTTTCATTTTCTTTTACACGTTTCAAAAAATCTTCCCTGCATTTGGAATGAGTCAAATGCTCAATGCGGACATTAATCCTCTTTGCAATTATGCGTCCACGTACTCTCTTATTAACAATGACACCAAGAGCATGGGGGGTCACGTTGAACACGCGACCTGTCTTTCCGTGATAAACTTTATAGGGCATTCCCTTTTGGACAGCTCCATTACCTTTTATGTCAACGATATCGCCAACTTTGTATACTTTCATGTACGTTGACAATGGTATTGTTCCATGTTTGCGGAATTTTCGAGAGAATAAATCCCTTGTTCCTCGACGATAACCTTTTGAATTCGTCATGGTGGTAGTTCAATCTATAAATGTATAATTAAATATTATTTAACGAAAATATGATTAGAAAAAGATAGCCATTGATCAAAATTGGTTATGTACGAAGGTTGTACTATTTCCTATATAACTAACGCGATATACATTAATATTCGAATTTAACGAATTTCATGGAAAAGAACATAATAATTTGATTACAACCTATGACAAAAACGTAATGGTACAAGATACATTGACACGTGTATTTGCTCGCGAAACCAATTTTGCGAAATATAATCTTCCTTTATTCGGAAAAACAACTTGAATACAGTTAATATAATTTGTGTAATTTCCTTGTAACGTATAAAATGGAATATAAACTTTATATCACACGAATACTTTATAATTCTTCATAAATATTGTCAAACTTACGAGAAGCAGGTTCAGCCGCTTACGTCGTTGAAAAAAAGAACCTAAGATTGGCAACCTAACCTACTGTAAGACCGAGTCTACCGAGTGCACCTAAATCGATAATAATCGATACATGTTTCTTTCTCTCATTGGCCTGTGTTTCTGTTTACAAGTGCATTTAGTAACTTATTTAGTCTGCAAATTCGTCCACTAGATATCGCTTTCAGCATCGAAGACGATTTTCCTCTCTTAGAATTGTTTAATCATTTACCCCGGTGCATGACAGTTATTTTCTGAAAATTCATTGTCAGGAACAAAGTTATTTTGCAACTTGTTGGTGTTCGTTAACTGAACATTATTAAATAATGGTACGTGTTTTACGAATCTTATTGTAATAATATTACGTATCTAGAAATGGCTTAAAATATTTGTTATGAGTAATTGTAATACTTGTGAAACTCAGTCCAGTGTTAATGTGTGGTTATGTGATTAAATTTCTAATTGGAAAGTTTTGTACATTCATACGCGTATATTATATGTCATTGCGTTTTCATACTCTTTTTGTACTAAAAAATTGCATATTTAAGCGATAAGAATCGATATTTAATTTATGATTAATGTAGGTTAACTAATTTTACAAATTTTTTAGTTCCGTAACCAGTACGACAGCGACGTAACAGTATGGAGTCCACAAGGACGTTTACACCAAGTAGAATATGCAATGGAAGCTGTGAAATTAGGATCAGCTACGGTTGGACTTAAAAATAAGACTCATGCTGTCCTTATTGCCCTCAAACGAGCATCCTCTGAACTGTCAGCACATCAGAAAAAGATCATTCCTATAGACAAACATATGGGAATTTCTCTTTCAGGTTTAACTGCTGATGCCAGGATGTTAAGGTATGTAATCATTCAAATTATTGTATAAAAACTTTTACCGAATTAAAGTTGAAAGCTTCACTGATATATTCGCAGTCGATACATGCGAACTGAATGCTTAAATTACAAATATTCTCATGATGATGTATTACCTGTGAGTCGTTTAATGACTTCATTGGGAAATAAATTACAAACCTGTACGCAAAGGTATGACAGAAGGCCATATGGCGTAGGTTTGCTTATAGCTGGTTATGATGTAAGTATTTTCATACAACTATCAATCGATATCTATTTAAAAAAAAAAATGAATGATAAGCTACTATTGTTTTTTTAAAGGATCAAGGACCTCATATATACCAAACATGTCCTTCATCAAATTATTTTGATTGTAAAGCAATGGCTATAGGAGCACGTTCTCAAAGTGCACGAACATATTTAGACAGACACCTGAATTTGTTTTCCTCAAGTGATCTTGATGAACTTGTAAAACATGGTCTTCGTGCATTGAGGGATACATTGCCGAATGAAGTTGATTTGTCAGTCAAGGTAAAGGAACTTAATCTTTTATACATGTTTATATAAATGTATATATGTGTATATATGTATATATGTATAAACGTCTTTAAAAAGCTGTATATACTAAATGAAAGTATACTGTTACAGAACGTCTCTATTGCTGTAGTAGGAAAAGGTACAGACTTCACAGTATATAACGAAGAGGTGACTGCTGTTTATTTATCTCAAATCGAAGATGATAAACGGGGAAAGCCAACTGAGCCAGACGTGGAACAAGATCCAAATCCACCACAACCTGCCCCGTCCGACGAAGGTCCACCAGACCCTCGAGTTTCAGTTGCAATGGAGACAGATTAAGAATACTGTAATATATTATATGTATACATATAAAATGAATATGCATTTTGTGTTCAAAATTTGTATTTGCACTATTATTACTATCACATTTGATATAATAGCATTTATTGCCATACAGATTCCGCTATATAATTTACACGCATTTAGATACAATTTATTCAATAGCCTATTCAACTTTACAGTTTATAATATATATAAATACACATCTATGATCTTGATTGTGGTCATAATAAAATAGTATTTTTATTGCTTCTCAGTCTTCTCATCTCTATGCTTTTTTAATATGTTTGTTAAGAAAAACTCTCCAGCTTTATAAGATGATCTTACTAATGGACCACTAGCAGTATATAAAAATCCCATTTCATTTCCTACATTTTCCCATTTTTTAAACTTCTCGGGCGTGACGTATTCAATAACTTTTAAATGTCTTTTTGTAGGTTGCATGTACTGTCCAAGAGTTAAAGCACCAACACCTACATCTCTCAAGTCCTTCATGGTTCGTTCAATTTCTTCATCGGTTTCGCCTAATCCCAACATTATCGATGATTTTGTAATCAACTCTGGATTAAGTGTTTTTGCTGTTTTCAAGACGTTCAGTGATTGTCTAAATAATATACAAATATGTAAGTTTTTTAAAGATTACCAAGGAAATTATAAACACTTGAAATGTGCAAAATTATTTACCTATACTCAGCTCTCCTGTCTCTAACAAATGGTGTTAAACGTTCAATAGTTTCAATGTTATGAGCAAAAACATCAAGATTAGAATCAACAATTGTTGCAATGGAATTTTGATTTCCCCTAAAATCTGGTACTAAACATTCCACTAAAATATTGCTTCTAGAGAAATGTATAAAATCCATCACGTTTACAATAGTACAAAAATTATTTATTATAAAAAAGAAAAAAATTATTGAAACAATTTGCATACCTCTTCTTAATTTCTTTCACTGTTTCTGCAATATGATTTGCTCCACCATCGGTTAAATCTATTATCAAAACATAATTTTAATATAATTATATTTTCATATGGATAAAAGATTATAAAAACTAACCATCTCGATCAACAGATGTGAGTACAATATAATCCAAACCCCAGTCTGTTATAGCTGTTGCTGTATTTACTGGTTCTTCTGGATCTAATGGTAAGGGTGTACGTGATGTTTTTACAGAACAGAAACGACAACCACGGGTACATGTATCGCCCATTAACTATATTTAAATTATTTTCCACTATTATGTGTTCATAATATTAATAGTAATCATTTTGGATGAGTACTGATTGTTCCTTAACAGCATTGTAATAAATGAATGAATTTCATTGAAAATAAAATTAGTCAGAAATGTTTTTTATAATTCCAGTCTTGAGAATGGTATTACAGTTTAAATGATAAATGATAAATGATTATATTTTACATCAAAGATAAAATAAAAATTAATATTTACATTATTAATTAAACTGAAAAAATAGAAGATAAGAAAGTATATTATAAACACTGTACAAACCATAATAGTAGCAGTTGCTGTTTCATGTTTATCACCTCCCCAACATTCTCCAATGTTAGGACATCGTGCCTCTTCGCATACAGTACTTAACCGTAACTGTCTCAGTTGTGACTTTAATCTAGCATAGTTTTTACCCACTGGTATCTCTGTTTTAAGCCAAGGTGGCAACCTTAAACGAGATTTATCTCCTTTCTCTAATTTTAATTTTCCATTGTATTCATTCTCATTTCCATTGATAAAGTCTTCAAAATCTGGACCATTTTCTAATTTTTCAGAAAATGTTTTTTCTTTGACACATTGTACAAGCTTTAATACGAATAAAAAAGAAAATAAATTATTTTAAGCAGATTGCAATCAAAGCATGATGTAACATTCAAAAGTTTAATATCGCTGTAAATTGTTCTGTTGTAAAAAGAAATCTGACAGAAAAATATAAAAATAGATTTTTAAAAAATTGAAAGGTTATTTGTGACATCTACTTCAAGATTATTGGAACAAAAAGTATACTAGAAAGTGTAAAATTATTTTTAAATTGTTTTTAAGAAAGGAGCACATATTTTCACAAAAATTAATTATGTAAATTTGAATACATAAACATGTACATGTATACTATTTTTATCTTTTTCTATATTTACACGTGACAAAAATATATAGAACTTGCATATCTGCTCTTGTTGTAAAATGTACAATTTCGCAATAATAATTGATAACAATATATGAATCAATACTTTGAAATGGTGATGTATGTAAATGAAAAATAATATAACTCACTGCGGAATGAAAATTGCAAACCGATGATATTTTCGTTCTACTCGAATTACGAAGTGTTGGGAACATGATTATTTGTAAATGAACATTCGACTTAACCCTTTGTCTTTGAACGTCAAGTCGTCAACTACAGTCAACTGCAGTCAACTAAAAACAAATCCTTACGGCATGAAATTGTAGTTACTAAGAAGTCTAAGAACGTGACTAAAAGTTTACAATGTGTTCAAAAATTTTGGACAAGTTTCGGATCCAAAAACAATTTCAAACAAACTTCGTGTAAGTGGAAACACACGATCGTGATTATTGTAAACTTTATTCATGTTTCATGCAAATATTCTACAACGCCACAGACACAGGAATACAGGGTGTCCTAAAAATGTTGTAACACCTTGAAATGGATGGTTCGGAAGGTGATTTGAAACAACTTTTTCCTTAGCGAAAATGTTGTGCGAGGTTTCGTTGAGGAAATATTAACGGAAAACACTGACCAATCAGAAGGCGAGTATGCCGATGAAGCGGTCGCGGTAGCGTATGAGCGCGGCCACCTAGCGCGTAGCCTACGCTCAACCGGAATACTCGCGCTCTGATTGGTCGGGGTTTTCCGTTAATATCTCCTCAACGAAGTCTCGGACAACATTTTCGCTAAGGAAAAAGTTATTTGAAATCACCTTCCGAACCATCTATTTCAAGGTATTACAACATTTTTGGGACACCCTGTATTCCTATGTCGTGTGCAATGATGATTTATCTTCATAAAAACGCGTCTAGCATTTTGTACCACATTTTGTTAGTTTAGTAACACGTGGACTGACGTAATATCGTCCGATCTTTAGAAATCCTGTGATTGGCCGCGGTAAAGGTCGGATGACCGTTCGTAATTTCTTAGTTATTGCGTTTGACATATCAGCGTGTTTTATTATTTTAATGAATGTGTTTATTTAATGAAAATAAATATTTTACATATAATATGTTATAATGGCAGATCCCGAGGTATGGTCTTCGACTCAGGACAACGATTTTTCTAGTTTTCAGTCAAATGACAGCTTCAATTTAAATGAGGTGTCTGGTATCGATGGTACGTTCCATGTTTATCGAATTAAATTTTATCGTTTTAGTTTAAACATGACATGTCAAGGATTAATATCTTGCACAATATATAATAATAATGCTATCTACGTTGTCAGAAAATATTTGGTGTCATTGGATATAAACAAACATTACAAACATATATGTACATTCGAACTTGTTTTAATAATAATTTCATAATTATAGAATTCATTACTTACTTTTTTATTACGTTAATAATTTAGGATTTCTTTTAGTACATTTTATGTTTTTATTTCAGACCTTCTTACAAACTGTGAGAGTGAATTATTGAAAAATGAAAATTTATTTAGTGATGATGCATTGCTCTCCCAATTGGAAGAACCTCTGGGAATGGACACAGAGGGATTAGATTTCTTAAATTTTAATAGCAGCGAAGATTTTAAGGACTTTCAAGATTTCAAGGATCCAAATATTATTAAATCTTTACCTAATGGAAATGTAATGTTGACTCCCACAATAACAGAAAATAGACAGCAAGTTGCATATGTATCTCAACAACAGCCTCAACAACAACAACAACAAAAACAGAGACAACAACAGTCACAGATACAAGATGTTACATCAACATCTGTACAAAGTAGACAACAAACAATATCTGTTACACCAGCATCTACAGTATTCAGTTCACAATATGCTATTCCACAAAATGTAAACTTCAGTGTTCAATCACCTGTTGTAACAATAGCACCAGTGACCCAACCAAGGCAGTTGCTTCTACCAGCTAAACTTATAAAGTCAGAATCAGTTGTTTATTCTAGAGGATCACAGGCTGTTAACTCTACATCTGTACCTCATCAAATACATACATTAGTAAACACTGCTAATGGAACAGTTTTAACTACTGGTGAGGACTAGTTTAATGATTAACTTTGTAACATAATATTTTAATCAAAATCATGTATTATATTATATTTTTGTGTAGGTATCCCTGTTGTATTGGACACTGATAAAGTACAAATCAATCGTTTAAATACAAATGCGCATGTAGGTGTTCCAAGAGTGAAAGAAGTAAAACGAAGTGCACATAATGCTATAGAGAGACGTTATAGAACATCAATTAATGATAAAATCATTGAATTGAAGAATATCATTGTCGGAGTAGACGCTAAATTAAATAAATCCGCAATTTTAAGAAAGACTATCGATTATATAAGGTATATTTATATTAAAATACGTTTAATCTTTTATGCATGGGTCTTAAATAACAAACATATTCACAGATTAAATATAAACATTTTAGATTTCTTCAGAACTCAAATGCAAAATTGAAAGCAGAAAATATGTCGTTAAAAATGACTGCACAGAAACAAAATTTGCGAGATTTATTGGTATGTGGGGAATTGACGCCACCCAGGTCAGATTCAAGCGAACCGTCTTTGTCTCCTGCACCAGCGCCATTATCTCCACCATCTCCATCATCCATAAAAGATGAACCTGATGTTTTACAAAATATTCGCACAACGCCTGTCCTTCCAAGTGGTGGAATGCGAGATCATACAAGACTTACGCTCTGCGGGTTTATGCTTCTTTTCCTAGCATTCAATCCTTTAGGTCTTATTGTAAATAATGTTGGAAGATTCAAATCTGATCATGTAAATACTAAATTGGATGGACGTACGATCCTTAATTATCAAGGTACAATAGTGCTCCTATCATTATCAGATCATGATGTAACGACAACTCTCAATTTATTGTTAATTTTTTCCAGATCAATCAGAATTCGAAAATCCAATTTGGAGCAATGTATTTTTATGGTTAACAAATATTATACTTTTAATCGGCGGAGTTTGTAGATTGTTACTTTATGGCGATCCGATACTACCATCCGATAGTAAAGTTTTTCTTGAACTTCATCGGTGGAGATGTCAAGCGGAATTTAATATATCTAAAGGCGAATATGGTCAAGCATATCGCGATTTACATCAATGTTTGCAATACTTTGGTCGTCCGTATCCATCATCGCGTATGGAAGCTTTGCTCGCAACTGTCTGGCAAATTATAAGGCAACTGCTTCACAAGTTGTGGATTGGAAAATGGATCTTGTACACTCATAAATGGTTTTCCGAGAAAACGACGCGACAACAAGCAGAACTATCTGCCATGGAAATAGCTATTATCTATCAGCATATGCTTTGTTTGCGTATGTCGGAAGGATCGAAGAATGGAATGTTGTATCTTGCTCTTTCTGCGGTCAATTACGCAGAAGTCTCTGGCGAAACCATGCCAAAACCACTGTTAGCAGAAATATATATAAATGCTGCACTGTGTTTCAAACAGTCGCTTTATCCGTTTATTCATAAATATTACTTCGGCAAAGCGCGCACGATACTGTCGTCGTGTGCAGTTCCGCCAAAGTTAAAATGGATTATGAGCGACGAGGGTGCCAAATTCTTGGCATTCCAGAAATGGCAATACGGAGACCAGCCAGATAATGAATTTTCATCTCAAAGTAGCAAAGCGGATCCTTTGTCTTATGCGTCACGGGCGTACAGAGATTACTTAATTGGACACTGTTTGCGTATTTTAACCGGAACTGCAGGAGATGCTCACTTATCTTTAATACTAGAATATGGACAAACCATCATGGCTTCAGCTGGAGTAGATGCTGGTTTTTCATGTACTGACAAAATTACTGTTACTCGTAAGTTGAACTAGTAGCGAATTAAACATAAAATACTGTTCACTAAGTTAAGCTTAATGAAACTAATATTTGATCTTCGTAATATGTTAGATTGCGAGGATGAAATTGGATTATGGTGGGGAGCAGTTATGTATGTAGCAGCATGCTGGAGACTGAGAGAAGATGATTCACAGGCTTGGAGTATCATTGAAAGCAAATTCCCTTATGAAAAAAATTACCAACTCTGTAATAACAATAATAGTATCAGTCCATTGCCATACATTGTATTGAATGCTTTACAAGCAGCGAAAGCTACGACTAAATCGGCTTCCATGCGTTTTATCGATCAGACGGGAGTATTGCTGGAACAATGCTTGGTTTATTATAATTGCAAACAACAATCGTCGCAGAACGTGTTGGTAAGATATAGAAACATTATATTTCTAACAATAACTTCCAATATTTGTATGCTTAATTATTACATCTTAATGAATTTATTGCTTATGTAAATGATATAATAGTTCACGTTGAATGTATTATTTAATTAATATGATATTAAAATCATCTAGTAATAATAGTTTTTATACGTAAATCTGTGCAACTGCTTACTTGTTACAAGTGTGCATTGTAGTTGCATTGCATGAAATATAACTATGCAATACTTCTTCAGTGCAACTCCTGTGGCAGGTCTCAGCACCATAAATATCTATACGTGTATATAGTTTCAATGATACTTGTATGTTTTCAGTTCTTTACTACATAATAATTTGTTTGTCGTTGTATATTTTAGCTCACTCAGTTGTGGATTTGTGATTGGTTACTTGACATGAGAACTACACTCTGGCAAGAATTAGACAGTGACATAGAAAGACCAAATACAAGTATACCTCTAGGCGGTTTTCAACGTGATTTAGCTTGTTTGAGGCAGTTATGTCAACATATTCCAGTAAGTTTAAAAGTAATATAATATTATAGATAAGTTGATATATTTTTTTTACTTGTATTTATTTCTCATTTTGTATTTTTTAGTCTACATTAGCACGAGTATTTCTTTACGAAGCCACAGCGCGTATAATGGCAGGAGCGACACCAGTGAAAACTCAAGTACTGCTAGATCGCAGTTTGCACCACAGAAATTCACGTCCTTCTATTATTTGTGGAAAAGATCGTTCACAGGATCAGTACAGCGGAGAACGAGAACACGCTGTAGCTTTGTGTCTAGCTTGCCGCCATTTACCTGCATTATTATTGGCTTCCCCCGGAGAACGTGCCGGTATGCTCGCAGAAGCTGCAAAAACCCTCGAAAGAGTGGGCGATCGAAAAAGACTTCAAGAATGTTATAAATTAATGCGACAATTAGGTCCTGCTATTTCTGTCAACTGATATATCGAATAAAACAATATCTCCGTATGTACATAAAAACTGTCACGAATTACATAACTCTACTGTACACTTAACTTTCTTTTCATACTTCATTGGTATTCACCATTCTTCAAGTAATCATTTCGTCACTTAATCGGTAACATTTATTATCATTACATGTATTGACAATTGACTGCAATTCTATAATAGACTGTATTATAAAAATGGCTTATATAATAATGGTAAATAAATATGATAGTAAGTATCTATAGTAAATATAAAAATATAAATCACTCTATAGGGCATTTTTTTTAAATGGGTTATATTTATTATATAAAATGCAAACATGGAATATTTAATTGTTATTTAATTTATTCAAACATAACAAATACATTATCCAAAATTTATGAATACAAAGATAATTTGTATATTATTATCCTACCAAAGAAATCTGTACTTTCATTAAATACAAATTTAAAGATTTTTGCTTTCTTTGGTTGTTTTAAAGTAAACCTTTGTACTATATTTTTATCTTCTGGATAAAATGATTCAAGTAATTGAATTTCTTTATTACCAGCTTCTATATGACAATCTTTGCCAACAAATCCACCCTGAAATTCAATTTCAAATGAACTTAGACTGCACTCTTGTTCAAAATCAATAACTACCCATTGTGGAGTTCCCTGTAACATACATTTCAATTATATACGTTGACATACGTAGCAATTAAATGTAAGACCATTAATTTATATAATTTTCATTATGAATGTCTTTACCTAATTATTACAAATATTTTCTTACCGCATCGGAATTCCAACATGTTTCAGAACAATTATCAAACATGTGCTTCTTTCCATATAGTCGGTTATTTTTATTTAATACTGAACTAACCCTATGTAAGTAGTACACTTTAAACACATTTTTTACAACATTTAATTGTGAATATGAAAAATTCCTAATAATTTCTTTTTTGTAATGTAAACTTACCAGCATTCAAATTTATTTTGTGATAATAAACAAGTCATACTATAAAGACAATAATTTAACAATTTATACGTAATGCAGCTTTAGATAATTAATTACATTTATCACTTATCACTTTATTTAGAATTTATTCCATTCATGTATATTAGACGCGAATTATTGTGAAATTGCAAAAAGTACTTTATAAGCGACGTACGTCTGCCATGAAGGTTATATTAATTGTGTATATATAAGTCATAAATTTAGGTTAGTTTAACCTAAATTACTGTCTGAATAAAGTTGATATTGTTAATAATTTCTCGAGGAGGTCGAAAATAAAGATAACGACTCGGTTGAGAGTTGAACGTGGTTTTTATTTTACTTGACCATTCTACTTTACATGAATCAGCACCGATTGCCACTGGCCGTTTTTCGTCCCCTGACCAATTAGGCACAGTCATTATTGGGTTATGGGGAGATGCAAGTTACATACTTGATCATAGGAGCATATCCTCCTCACTGAGCTGATTACTACAATATATGTTATATATAACATATAAATGCAAATGGTTTGTTGTGAATGCTGTTTCTTATATAAACAAAAATCTATGCAAACAGATAAATATTTTTTAAAATTTTATGTATTAGTTTTTACACAATTATATATTAAATGAAATTCTAATTAGCAGTTTCTATTTATACGTTTCTAGAGCCTCATCTATAATCTTGTTAAATTTCCGATTCTGCCAATCGAGAGAAATGTCATCCAGATGATTGTCAAAATCAACAAGATTTTTACACAGATCTTTTTTTATTAAAGAATATAGTGCTACCAAATTTGCAGGTCCAATCTCAAATACACTACAAATGTAAAAAGAAAAACATTTTTTATTTGATGTATAAGTAAGTATATAGAAATGTATATGAAATGTTTTATTACTCTGTGTCTTTAAGCTTCCATTTGCCATCAATGTATTGAGACACTCTCAAAGTATTCTGACCGAATGGAAGTTCTTTATTGTCTACCTAATATCAAGAAAAGAAAATTATTGGGCCATTTTTTTTTAAACTTATTGTGTTTTATACTTACCACAACAAGTAGACCATTTCCATGGTTTTCTGCTATTTTGTCTGCGATTCTATGAGCAGGTTTATCTGTACTACATTAAAAGAACAAACTCATTAAAAACTTAACAAAATTAACTGAAACTCTTAAAAGAATTTTCAGAAATAGGTTCAAAAGCAAATAAATGATGATAAATTACCTTAAATCATTTATGTTTTCATTTGCAAGATAATAACCTGCAATTATTAAACCTTTGCTTGTAGCAAATTGATCAACCTAAAAATCATTTTGTAAAAGCTTAATATAAGTATAAAATAAACTAGCACATTGAATCTGTTTATTTTAGTAAATATGATTAATATAACAAATTCTGTTCATAAAGTTTATGTCTGCATTAACTAAGGTGATCGTGCTTAATGTTTACGTATTTACCATGGTTAATGCGATTTCTGCCATAGGCGATACATGAAGACAGATATGGAATAGTGGAATTACATCTTCGATATGTAATTCTACGGATTTACTATCGCTTTTATTCTTCTGTTTGGCCAACAATAATCCATTTATTGCACAATGAGGATACTTAGCAGCATGGGACATAATCTTAAAATAGGCACGGTTAGAGAACGAGATATCTGCCATTTTGACGTGGATACATATAATCACATAATAACAAATATTGCCATTAACAATCGATAGTTTATTCGACATAGACGAAGTCACGTATCACGTTTTAAACGTTGGTAATTATGTTAGCAGCGTAACGCGATTTAAATTAGAATTTTAAAAAGTAAAGAAAGTTAATGATTTATTCTCTGATTGTGAGCAAACGTTGTAATAAAAATAAATCCGTGAGGACGGTAATCCTTCGTTATATCTTGGTATATCAGCTATTGCAAACGATACTCCTATGATTCATATTTTTCTAAAATTTATTCTTTCAAATTTGTCCAATGTTACAAAAGACAAGTTGCGTAGAATATTTAAAAGCTATATTTTTCCTAAAAAGAACAAAAGCTCGATAAATAAAACCACGTGATTATAACAGAATCTCATTGGTCCATTGATCCCTGATAAAGAGTGTACATATGTCCCTATGCATTACTTTATTTGATATCTTTATACATTTTCTTTCATTAACTCTTTCATTGGACGATTTGTGATCAAATAAATTAAGACAATATAAAAACTGGAACGTATTGTTCGCAATCAAGTAACTAGTATTTCACATTTTAATTATTCCATTGATTTAAACAATAAAAACGAGGTACGTGGGACTAGCAATTGTTATCAGTTTTTCAAATGATCGTTTGGCAATAGATCAAATACATTTTATATTTAAATACGACGTAAAGATGCCAGAATAAAAATTATAATGCTGTTAATAATGTTTTAAATAACTAAATATACATATTAAATAAGTGTATGATGATCTATCAACTGACAATTAACATTATCTGATGGCCTATATTAATTAAAGTAAAGCGTTCAGAGTGTTCATTAATGACATTCAATGAAAGGATTCAAGGTACTTCAATTGTAGAGTATCGCATAGTATCGGAGAAAGATCATAAAAGTAAGAAGAACTTTCGATAATGAAAAGTGAAGTTGGCAGCACGGTAACCTCTAAACTCTAAAGGATGCATATGTGTGGTTGGAACGACAAACGGAAGGGGAATGAAACTCCAAAGTTCTCTTCAGCCATCTTGCCTTGGTCAACTAGTAGTGCCATCTCCGACAACCATTCGAGTCACACAAGCGTTAGCGTCAAGAAGCTTCGGATGTAACATGAATATTCATACTTCTATACAGATTGTCCCAAAAATGTTGTAACACCTTGAAAGGGGTGGTTCGGGAGGTGATTTGAAACAACTTTTTCCTTAGCGAAAATGTTGTTCGAGGCTTCGTTGAAGAGATATTAACGAAAAACACTGACCAATCAGAGCGCGAGTATGCCGATTGAGCGTAGGCTACGCGCTAGGCGGCCGCGCTCATACACTACCGCGAGCACTCCACCGGCATCCTCGCGGTCTGATTGGTTAGTGTTTTCCGTTAATATCTACTCAACGAAGCCTCGAACAAAATTTTCGCCAAGGAAAAAGTTGCTTCAAATCACCTCCCGAACCACCCCTTTCAAGGTGTTACAACATTTTTGGGACACTTTGTATACGTTTAGTTAAGGTCAACAGAACTATTCTTCTATCGTATTCAACGTTTCGAGGATTATTTAACAATAATTCGTGCAGTGCTCCATTAAAATAATTAATGAATATACACGATTCTTTTAGGATTCGAATTTTGCCGCGCTTCGAGCACACACCGCCATTAATGGACCAAAGGAAAATGGCTGAAGGTTACCTGCGAGGTCATTTCCTCCCGTAACTCAAGTCATCGGTCCCCTTGCCATAATACTTCTTTCTGCACTGTCCTTCAGGTTCGTGGTTGGCAGGCGTAAAACACCTGTGACGACTATTAGTTGAATGGAACGTGGAAGGGATAACATGGCCACCGCCTGGTGACGTTCGTTCGCCGTCGCTGTCGCGAAATCAAATGCTCCCAAAAACATCTGGTGAACATTTATCAGTGCAGGTTGCGTAGTTTTATTCCAGTAAACGTGTATAACAGTCTGTGTGAAGCTCGATGATGAACATGTGGAAAGTGCGGGAGTTAATGGACAAGGCGTAAGTACGATTAAGTCAATTACACGCGATCTAACCTTGCTTTTACTTTTTTTCGACGCATTCCACTCTACTTGTTTGATACGCTGGACGAATTTTCGTTCCCCGCTGAACTCGATCTTTCTTAAAATAATTACCTTTGCCTTCGTTATTTAACACGCTATTTATCCGCGAACTTGTATTTGAAATTTATCTACTATTAAAATTTGTAGAATCGAAGTTCTTGGTTCGTTTCCGAACGAATCTTGTGATTATTATACTTCTACAGTATATTATTTACGCGGGTTATTAAACAACAATTATTCGATCGAATACAAGTTTCTGGGTCAAATAACACCAACATCTTTTACGATACAAAGCAATGTTATATGGCTACGAGAAGGTAAAATAACCTAACTATTTTCTCGGTATACTTTTTGCTAATGACGACACGCATCATTTTACCGTTCCTTTGCCTATTTTGGTATTCACTATTATTATAACACACACTACACAGCTTTCTAAATTTATTTATATATTACGTGCGTTAACATAAACAGTAGCAAACTCTATCTCAAGTAAAAAGCAATTTTCATAACGAATGCTACGAAAAGTCAATCCAGATAATCCAATAATACGTTATTAATTGCACAACTCGTTTATTTGTCTACTATATTTTTCCGTATTGTTGTGGTTTGATGATATTTTTATAAAAATATGTTATGTTTACATTCGTTTCTCTGACTTTCTTATTTGTGTTTCGTCTCCGAGCAAGTTTACTTTCGAATCGGAAACATATTGTTCTTTTATTTGAACAAGAACGAACGAAAAAGAATTATGTTTATCGCGGCAAAGTCTGGAATTAGGAGATAAGACGTCCCGTAATAAGCCCAGGAACAGGTTGCTCTCAATGATAAATAAGACTACCAGTTGAGAAGTGTTGCATAGTTTAAAAGAAATCGTCGAAATCGTCGAAATACCAATTTTCGTCAATAAAAACAGTAAAATGTAACCGCTGGCGTGCACCAATACCAATGATAAGAGATCGATGGTGCATCTATCTTTAATTTCTCGCAATGCGTGATAATTTTTAACAACGCATAAAATGTTACGTTTTTAGATCCAAATCGATCAAAAATTATTTATTTGGTTCAACTTTTTCATGTGTAATATTTGTACGTGGAATTAATAAATCGAAAATTTTTTTGTCGAAAATGAACTAACCCTGACCTAACCTCTCGATAGAACGTTGCCGAATCTCTCGTGGTCCCGACGTCAGTTTCAATATCGGCTTTGTTTTCGAACAGAATGGACCTTTGTCGCTATTCCCATATCAAACGACAAAATACTTCTAGCTTTCGTTTAAAAAACTAATGTTGGTTTGGTTTCGCATGAAAATGAATCGCGTGTTTACATCTCTCTAGCGTTTGTTTCAGACTTTTTTATTTGGCCATCACTTACATACGATTTAATATGATAACTGTTTATTTTCGATTTCATTCGTCTAAAAGAATGCTAAGTATTATGGAGTTGTTCACGTGCGTGAAAAATATTCATGGACGATGAAAGTAAATAAAATTTCACGTTGGATGAACATTTTACCTTCGGTTTTTTCTTAATCATGATATGCACGAGTATAGTATGATTACCGACCGGTGCTTAATTTGTACATGTATACATAATACATAATTACACACGTGCTCGTAATGTTGAATTAAATGGTGGTTCTCAACCATCGGTGTTATCTATGTATTCTAGTATTTTAATCGTTCGATTATTTCTTTTTCATATCTTTCAAGACAATTAATGTGCAATGATTATAATTATCGTCTACGTTTATTATTTGTTTAGAACGTTAGCTACGAGCTAATTTGTACACACGATCGGATATATGAGATTCTTCGTGATCTGTGGAAACCGAGAAGCGGAAGAACACTATTATCTCTAACAGTATTTCTGGTGCTTTCTGAATACAAATGCAATCCATGATCGTGCATGTGAAGATTCCTGATTTAAAACACGATTGTTATTTTACCGATGCGCTGTTCTGACGAACGACCACATATTTGTACATTTGTTAGTTCGTTTCCCTCAGTTTATTTTTTCCTTGAACAGGATTATGTAAACTTAAATGAAAAGCGCTTATATTTTTAAAGCGCATTTATCGCAATGAGAAATACATTGATTTTCTATTATCTTTCGTACGTTCAGCTTGAATATTTGGTTAAACGTTCGATAGAGTCACAAAATCTTAAATAAAAGAATTCGTTAAAAAATGAATAGTAAATGTCTATTTTATATTCAGTGTTTGATATGTTTTTAATCAGTGTATTTGTTGTTCATGCTCTCAAAAAAGTATGTTTATATCCCCGTAACGAAACATTCGAAAGTCTAGAATTAATTTTATATTGTCGTTTTGCATACAATAAGTATTACAAAAAAATAATAAGTACGAGCATAACGAAAGTTGAAGTCTCTCGATGTATTATCTGATTTTATTAAATATGTAAAGTTTAGCCGTAAAATGGATCAACCTGACACAGTACAAGTCGTTTATCATTACGCGTTATCTTTTGACAAAGATGTTATTCGGTTTCCTCATTCAATGATAAGAATGATATATTTTTATTTATTTTGAATTATAATATTTTTGTTTTTTGTTTTATAACAACTTGGTTCAAACATTTCAATGAATTAATTATTAAATAACTGTTAAACACAATTGTTGTCGATGAATTTATACAATCAAATTCCTTTAATACCTGCTGATGCGAATTATATTCGAATTACTAATTTTTTTTTTGGAACTTAAATCGTGCTACAAACGAAACGAAACAAGTATCGTGTGCCACTAGACGCGTGTAATTATTGCGCAATTATCAGATGTTCGTAGGATCTACACTACATGAATACAGTGAAAGTACTTTTACATAGTAATTAATGGCGTCGTCGAATCGTCGCATATCTTGTTTCGTGCCAACTAAGAACATGAAAAAATTATATTGTAAATTTTAAAAAAAAAATATGTGTTGATTTTGTAGGGCCAACGTGGTAATGAATTACACGGAAACTGAGGCCAAAGTTCGAGAAGCAACAAACGACGATGCTTGGGGTCCCACTGGTAAGGTTTAATTAATTATTTCGTAATTATTGTCTGCGTAATTTTTCGCGTATTAAATATCTTTCGGATATCTATAGTTCGTGAAAGTTATTTATAAATGTATGTTTACTATTAAACGCGAATAAAGCATGTTCAAAAAATTATTAAATTTTCTCATACGAAACCGTTCGTATTTATTATGACTGCTGACACGTATGTAATTCGATCTCTTTTTCGAAGTTCAACGTATGGTAACATTAATTGTACCGCATGTATTTCTTCAGGGGCAATGATGCAAGAACTTGCTCAGTCTACATTCACGTACGAGCAATTTCCTGAGGTAATGTCTATGTTGTGGAAAAGGATGTTGCAAGAAAAACGAAATTGGCGTCGAACGTACAAGGTATATTCACTTCCATCGTGAATATAGTTAATTCGAATATTTAACTAATTAATGGATTGATTAAAAAATGATATCTTCCTTAAGATACTTGATTTGAATTATGTAAAAGTATTGGGTTGTCCGGAAAGTCCACGCCGATTTTTGATAGGTGATGCAGGTCTAAATATGTCGAAATGGCTGAAAACAAATAACATATATATCCCTTAAACATCCCTTAAAAGGTGGAAAGGTTGTGGAACAAAATGGTACCTATGTAATTCAATAAATATATATTACAATTCAAATGTGCCTTTGAAGTTTTCTTAAAAATTGGCACGAACTTTCTGGACAACCTAATAATTTCGAAAACTCAATTCTTTTATAAATTTATTGGAAAATTATACTCTCTATATTCTCAAATAATTGTTTATATTCTTTTTCCAGTCTCTTTTACTTTTGAATTACCTAGTTCGCAATGGTTCCGAACGAGTGGTTACATCGTCAAGGGAACATATTTATGATCTTAGATCTTTGGAAAATTATACTTGCATCGACGAGTTCGGGAAAGATCAAGGAATAAATATTAGGCATAAAGTTAGGGAATTAATTGACTTCATCCAGGACGACGACAAATTACGAGAGGAGAGAAAGAAAGCTAAGAAAAATAAGGACAAATACGTAGGTTTATCCAGCGAAGCAATGGGTATGCGATTTGGTGGCGGAGATAGATGGACGGATAGCCCGAAATGGGGTAAAAGTAGTATAGATGCTTATGCTGATTGGGATAGAGAAAATCGGGCAAAACGTTTTGAAGATACGAATAACAGGTAGATATTAATTTTAATGTTTTTTTTTTTTAACATTACTTACTTATCTTTGGCATTATTTATATTCTGTTTTTTCATGACAGCGACGATGGTGAAAGAGAAGATTCAGATAATGATGTTCACCCGAGTCCGAAAAGGGGAGGTAGAGAATACAGAGATACAATGGACAACACAGATCGTCTTAGTAAAACTACTTCTGTACCTACAGCTTCCACAAATGCTTCACCTGCGCGATTGCCGCGAACTATTAAGAAGGTAGATTTAGGGGCTGCTGCAAATTATGGAAGAGAACAGTCTAATGTAAGCAAAGAAATATCTACTATAGCAGAAGATTATAGTTATAGTTTTTATAACAGCAACGAAAATGATAAATTAATTTAAATTTACAGAATGGTATATCCGGATCGCAAAATAATTCTTTGTCATTACCCATCAAGCAAAAAAGTAAAAATGACATTTTAAATGATATTTTTGATTCTCAGAATGAGAATAACGCTAAATCAGTTGTTGATGACGACGATGACTTTAATCCAAGGGCAAATACTCAACCTACTGTACAAAGCCATAATGCAAACACAGACTTTGGGGATTTTACTAGCGCGTTCGGCAGTCCTACCGTGAAAACGAAAGACAGTAACGATGAATTCGCGGATTTCACATCTGCTTTCAATTCTTCTGTAACAATATCTAATCCTCCAGTAGTTCAATCACAAATGCCACAAACACAAATAAATTTGATAGGAGCAACAATACCAAATATTAATAGTCCAGTGACTGATAACGTGAATAATTCAATGTTCATGAACACTCACTCAGCAAGCACACCTTCTTTTACACCTGTAACTTCTGGAAACACAGTTCTACAAAATTCTAATATGAATAGTAATCTGTTTGATTCTTTACAACCGCAAGTGCTCAACAATCAACAAACATTAAATAATAATACAGGTACAGTATATATAACTATTACTTGATATTTAATAGTTATTTATAAGAAAAAAGTATACGACTCTAATATTAAATTATCTTTTTTCAGCGCCTTCAACTACGGATCTTTTATCAGATTTAGATACCTTAAATTCTGTGACCACTGGTTCTATTGATAGGCGAATAAATAGTACCGACAATACCAATCTTTTCATGAGCATTAGTTCACCTATCGTGGGTAGTCATGGAGGTAAGCATATAGTATTTATTAATATTAATAAAATTGTGGTTTTATGGTTTAGTAGTATGTAATAATTAGCGTTACCATAGTTCTGCACATTTACTCCAGTTTTATTAGAAAAATACATTGATTTCAAAGTATATTATATATATTTCAATATTACTAAATCATAAAATCAAGCACTGAATATACATTAAATATCATAGGAAAGAAGTTCGTATTATACTTCGCCTTGTACTGGTTGAAAAAGTTACGATCGTCTTTTGATTTAAAAGAAAGCATATACATCTTCATTGCAAAATTTTGTGCATGATTTATTTAATTTTGAGGATGTATTTAAAGATAATATAATGCCCCCAAGAGAGACTTTCCTTACAGCATACAAGATAGAAGAAAGCTTCGTCGCTTCTGCTGAAAATCTTTCAAAACATGCTGCACATCGACTTTTGGGAGAATTATGTTGTATGGGTCCTATCAAAAGCCATAACAGTCTGATAAAACTGAAGTCTTATATTTCCGATTACATTAAATTCTTACCAGGATCGTTTACGCCACAAAAATATACTATGCTTGATTTTGACCATGAAATCGATTCTATGTTACATGGAAGAATCTTAGAAGAAGTTATTGAAAAGTTTGATTATAATTGGCCATTGCAAGGGAATACATTAGATCCAATAGTTAAAGATTTAATAATTGTTGATGGCGCCACATTGCCAATTTTCACAGAATCTTTATCAGCTTTAAGTTTTGCTCTGAAACAAACTGAAGATGAGGAAAAGATGTTTACTATTTCGGTAATTTTGGAATTATTAATGAAAAGTGACGCTTTGTTTTCTGCAATAATAAATGTATGCAAATGTGAAATTCGAAGTTTAAGGCAAGAAGAGGAGTTGGATCAGACTTGGCGAAATGTGGTGCAAATATTAATTTCGTTACCAAATCGTGTAGCTAATAAACTGAAAAATAAAACCTTCGACACTTTTCTCCCACAAACGTATCTAAAAATTATGAGTTTTCATATTGGCCGCGCAATATCATTTATAAACACTGGATTGCATTATGGTATCAACATAGAGACAAAGCCGCTTGCAATTTTAATCAGCAAACTGGTAAAAACCGCGAACGTAGAACATTTGTTGCCTTTCATCGCCATCTTAACAGAATGGTGTTTCAAAAATAAGAACAATGAACAAAATTTGATACAAAGAATATTCAAAACATTAGATACACCAAGTATAGAACCAATAGCTGTATTATTTTTAAAACATTGCGATGTAAAATTTGGAGTGTATCCAATTTTTGGTGATGTATTATCCAATTCAAATTGGAAATACACGTTAACAACAAAAATTCCTTTAATGTGTTACTATAATGATGAAAATTTAATAATGAATTTAAGCTTGTACTTATCGCAATTTTTAGACGAAAGTCGTATTGTAATTGAATTATTAATGAAACTTCTAGACGTTTGGGGCGACAAAAGTGCTTTGAATCATACTTCAGTGGATCAACATAAATATATAACAAAACTAATAATTATGTGTATGAGAAAATCAAAAAATTATTTGTCTAGGGATGAAAAAGATAGTATTCAAAGATTGCTATTTTCTGGTATATCGGTTCACCTTGAATGTTCACACATTATTTTACGAGCTATAGGAATGTGTATCGGTGAAATTTTCACTGATGAATTATCTGAATCAGATAACGCGCCGAAGCTCCATTTTGAATATAACAATATGCCAATTGAAGCGATAGATTTAGTTCAGTCTTTAAAAAAATTGGGTGCAATAACAAACATCTCAGAAAGAAAGGAACATACCGAAGAGAATTGTTTAATTCTTAATGACATTGAATTTGACACATTAGCCGATAAAAGACTATACGAGTTAGGTGTGGAATGTAGTATTTTACTTAAGAAGAGTATAGAACTAAAAGAGAGCAATAGATGTGAAGATATCTCTACTATAACTAATTTTAAAGGATTAGCTGTACCTCATACGATAGTGTCAGATAACAATGAAATAATCAACGACACTGAAAATGATTCAGAATTAGACAGCGATGATGACTTAGTACCATATGATATGTCTCATGATAGAAAAGTTACTGAAAAATTACGACCAGCGTACCTACGTGATTTACGTGATAATTTAGTTAATGAAAAAAATTCGACAAATCCAGATATCTTTTCGGAATCATTAGAAGTTTGCGAAGAATTAATATTATCACAATTACCCGGCGATGATGTATCCTTTGCTATTGAATTATTAGAACTTCTTATTACGCTCAAAGAATCGTGTTGTGTAGACAATTTTGAAACATTAACATTTAAGTCTTGTGTAGCTATAGTAACCATATATCCCAACGAATGTGCTGCATTTTTATGTCAACAATTTTATACAGAAGTAGATAAATACTCTGCAAGTCAACGATTATTCTTCCTAGATGTATTAGCAGAAACAGCAAGAAAATTATCAAGCATTCCAGTTAAGGAAAATGAAGAGAGTACAATCGATGAAGTAAAATCGAAACCAAAAAGAAAAGAAATTTCAAACAAAGTATCACTTTTTATTAATATTGAAAAAAGTCAACAGTATAATGTGTTATACAGTGATGATTTCGAGGAATTCGGAAGGCCAGAAGACCAGATTGTAGATTGGCGAGAAATTGTTGATAAAAGAATTGAATTAAACACAAAAAGATACGCACATAGCATAAAATCTTCCAAAACATTCGAAAATAAATTTGCAAACGTTGCATCTTCATTTTTTTATCCACTTTTGTATAGTTTCGGTAAACAGGGTACTTGTTTAAATAGTGGATTGCAGATTTTTACAGATCAAGAAAACATCTTATTGATTCGATTTCTCAAAACCTTATCTACAATAATGGTAGCAGCCCAAAATTGTTTATTAGCTTCTAAAATGGGAAAAGAAATTTTAGACTTGTCATGGTCACTACGATATCATGATCAAGCAAAAGTTAGAGTGGCAGTTATAGAAAATGTTGCAGCTGTACTTGTTGCAGTGCCAAAAAATATAATCGTAAATGAATTATTTGAAACTATCATTGAAGTAAGGCTATGGCTTTTAGATTTGTCTCAAAATATGATTAATGGTGATTGTGACAAAGAATGCAGAAGTTTAGGTGCTAGCGTGGTATCTTTAATTGACTCCATTATGGGTTCCACATTTGAAAATTAATTTTTATCAGGAATTTAATAAGATTTTTGTGAGTGTATTCATACAGTTTGCTTTAGAATTTTATAGTACAGTACATTTTCTATTTTTATTCATTATTTATCATATATAAATGAAAGTTTAAGTATCATCTAAAAAATGTAATGTATGGTATTATAACACAATTTATAAAATTTAGATGATATTTTTGCAAAAAATTGTAATGATTCGGCATAATATCTTACAGTAAATAAAAAAGAAATAAATATGTTTATGCATTACTAACTTCATTACTTAACTACTATTAAGATAATGTAATGTAAATGCGAGAATGTAATAAAGTATTGAAGACAAATGTATGTTATTAAAACTAAAAGAAATGTCATATTTAGGAACAATTGGATTATCATCTGTTACAAATCTTCTTACCCCTACATCTACCAATTCCAAAATTCAAATGTCAAGTAATACATCTGCACAAGTTGGTTCTACATGGGCTTCTTCAGGATTGAACATAGATCTTGACAATATAATGGGGAGTAAGGCTAAACAAATGGGACCTGCTCCAACAATGAATCAAATGGCAACCAATAGTCCGCAACATCAAATTAAACTTACAAGTAAGTAAATTATAAAATATACGAAATGTAGTTTTAATGTATTTATCTGAAGTATAGAGTATATTGGAACTGGTTTTTTAAAAAGAAAATTTGTATTCTATTAAATATTTTTCAGTTAAATAGTAGCAACGTAAAATTACTACTACATCAAAGTGAGAAACAAATAGATATTTTTATTTTCATAGAAAAGAAAATTTTAAGTTTATAATTTATAATTTTTAATCTAGAAGAATATATTCTAACTGTAGAAAAGAATAAATTATACAATTTTGTGAGCTTGAATTAATTGGATTTTGTAGCATATATTTTACAATGTGTTGTAACTGAATTGTTCAGAAGCAGATATTATATGACAAAAAAATATAATTATTTTAGCAGCATCAACAATGGGATATACATCATCTATAATTCAACCTCAGCAGCAAAACCAACAAGTAAATCCTGCATTTTTTCCTGCATTTCAATGAAAATTTTTAAACGAGTGAATGCTAACATGAAGGCATAAGTGGAGTTTAAATAAATTTTCTATTTTCTGGGTGGAGCAGTTTGATTATACACAGGGTGCAACTGCGTATTGTAAATGTCAGAGTAAAATGATCAGTGAAACATGCATTGCATAATCATGTGTTCATAAAAAGTTGAAAAGTATTTTCAATTTCTGAATTTTGTACATTGTATTTTGAGTTGAACTATATGTTAATATTCTGCTGTATGAACTTTGTTGCTATCATTTTATCATCATCCAATGATTTCAAAGCAAAACAATTTTTGAAAAAATATAATGCATATAACCGTGATGAGTGCTACGTAAAATACGTGGTTAGTTTAACGTTTTAGAGCAGCTCTATAGATTAAGTTTCAATACGTCTGTGAGTATGTGTTTGTTAAAGTGATAACTCTAGATAGTATGTGTTCCCAGTAACATTCCGCAATACAAATATTGCACTTTTGTAATCAATATTTATGTTATTTGCAAATTACGCGGGAACAAATCAGGCAGACTTGTCCTAAAAGTTTTATACATAATGTAAATTTTAACTCTACGACGAATCAGAATTATGCCTTAAGTGTATAATGTATCATAAGAATGTATGCATGAAAGTGAGTTACAAATACTTGTGGAAATGTAGTATACTACTTTTATTTACTATTGGATATAAGATGTTCTGTTGTCTGTTATTTAAAGTTTCAACAAAATCGAAAAAATGCTTTTACAGCGGTTTATAGAAAGTAGAGTTATTGCAGCATTCAGAAAGCTGCATTTACATTGGGTATGTAAGGATGTAAAAACCATTTCACTTTTCTATCATAGATATTTGATGTCGATGATATTCGTCTACGAAGAAAAAAATGAAAAGACGCAATAACATTAGTAACGATAAGTGCTTCCCTACTATAGTTAGTTTTGCACGAAAGAAAATTATACAAAATTAATAGTATCTAAGAAGATATAGGTGACTATGAAGACATAATGCAGGATACAAGACCTTATTAACTTAAAGAAGAAGCACAAAAATCAGCGCGACGAATATTTCCGCGCTTTGAAAGCGCTCCACTCAGCATGGTGATTTAATAATATTATGTGTTTATGGTCCATTGTAAATTATTTAAGAACTTTGTAGTTGCGTAATTACATGATTATGAGAAATTTAATCATCTTTGCAATTGAATGATATTCTAGGTTTTTTGTAAAGTAGACAAGGAATGTAAACATTAAATAGCACTTCCTTAGTTACTTGTTACTAACAATGAAAAAGATGCATATCTTTCCGCATAATTGTTTATTCGATTATTAAGAGAAAAATTATAGCTACAGATAATTAAGTATTAACTATTACATTGTTAAGTCATATTTCCTTTATGTGTGCTGTTTGTTAGCAATGATTTTAATAATCTTTGCTGCATGATACTGAAATATATCATACAATAATATGTTATTTTGTTAATAATTCTTAGACATTGGAATGTTTGTTAATGAAAAAATTGACTGCATGCTATATTCGTTATTTTTATTTGACAGTTATATTTTAATACGATAAATGTTATAATGTTTTGTTATTTATAAAGTAGAAGTAAAATTTAAAAGTTATTTCAGAATTTGCAGCAAAGTTCAGATTTATAAAACGTATACTATACCATTAGTATGTATAGAACATCCTAAAATTATATTTTATCTGGTTAAAATTACTTTACATTTATCAAACAGTTCTATGATTAGGTTGTTATCAAATTCTCACTTTCAATTCTCGTAAAGTTGATGTGGAATTAACTTACAGGCTTCTATGCAAGTATCAGAGACTGAATTTCGTAAGGGAAAAAATGGATCCTTTACATTTTCCATTATTTGAGCATTTTATATGAAGCAAAAAAGTTGACGTAGATGGGGAATATATTTTTAAAGTGTTAAAGTATACATACATATGTATGTATTAATATACATACATATGTATATATTATTGTACAAATATAAACAAATATAGTCAATATGAATAAGTGCGGTATTACCATCATTCGAACCGTTTAAATATTAATATATAGAGGCACGATTACAGTCTAGAATTACGGAGGCCTTTATAGTGTCAAACTGGATGAAAATTAAACGAACCTTTTTTTTTTGTTAGCAAATAAGTTTTATAAATTTGTACACAGAATATTGGTAAAGAATGATGTATTCGACCCTTTTTATTAATTCCACATTTGAGAAATAGGAAACAATGTGTATTGTCTTATTGAAATACACATCCTTAATTCATGTGTAAGCGTAAACTGTATTTTTATGCTATTCCGCGCGATGATATTGTTCATTATACGTTTTACAAATAGGACTCATTCGTTTGATTTAATTACACTTTGTTAATGACTTGTATCATTTGTTTCATTGTTATGAGTATATTTCTAAAGGTTATTGTGGCTATTGTATATGTGTGGAACGAGTTATGATTACTTACTAGCGTTTAAAAATTTCAAAAACACTTTTTACTATTAGATCTATATATATGTATAGTTGCATTTATTATCAAAGTATTTTTAAAATAATAAGTATTAAATTGAAACCTTTAAGCAATATTAATCAATATGTATCGGTACATATCAATATTAATCGCGCGTTTAGAGTTCATGGTTAAAAGTTACGTATACTTTACGATTTTATGTATAAAAAGAAATACAACAGAGTTGAAAGTTACTGTTCGTCCGCAAAAATTTAGGACAGTTATTACGTTGCTTATGATATATACGTGCGAATGATAATTAATAGTTCACCCGTCGATTTTTGACGGAATATTGTTTACAGTAGCCGCGATAATTGTAATTATTAATTCTTCAAGTATTTATACTTACATCACAGTTTTATCGTTATTAAATGCTCATTGGTGCTGGTGTTAATACGAATTTTGAACTATTATAATTTATTCACTTTTAACATCATTTTCCCTTGCATTAACTATATCCAATTGATTATCCTCTTGTATACTATTTCCCTTCAACATTGAAGTTCTATCTTATTGTCCTGTAATACAAAATGGTTTACTACATAAAATTCAAGTTAAATGTGCACATACGATCATATACGAAATTTTTAAAAGCACAATGAAATATTTTATCTTTTTTTAATTATTGTATTATCGATTCTTTATTTACTTGCATTTTTAAATTTCTGATTTAATTCAAAGATCACATTAATTGCAATTAAAGTAGATAAAAAGTCGAGAATAATCCTCATTTTTAGTAGTTTTTTAGGGAGGTATTAATTTTAAAATATTCGGAAGATGCGCTTAATCCGTACAGTATTTGGAAGAACAAGCTTTGTTTTATGATAATAATATATTTAGGAAACAAGAAAAAAAATGTAATTATTATCGTTTAATAAACTCGATCAGATTCCACTGTACAAGTGATATAAGTAAAAAAATTAATACTTTGTAAAAGGAAATGATTTCGAATTATAAATAAAATAACAAATCTAAATACAAATACATATACATTTATTTTTAATGCTGTACATATTGAATAAGGAAGTGAAAAATAATACAAAAATGGAGTAATGCACAGTACACATGTATACAATTATTTAAGTTACAAATGATTATATTTTACAGTTATTTTCTTCATAAAATTATGTATATTTTGAAACAAAATTCGAGTCAAACAGTATACTACTAGGTATATGAAAAATATGTCTAACGTATAATCGGATATAATTGTCACGTTTTTAAATTTTACAATTAAAATATTTAATTATTAATGAGCCAAATAATAATTTTATAAAGATTATAATTATAAGTGAAATTGTGTAGAAAACAATGTATTTCAAGTTCCGCTTAATATGTAACTTAAACTATTCACTAAGTAACGTGATTTATTACAATCAACATACCATTACAGTTACATAGACTCAAAATATTGTTTTTCATTCGTCTTCGGCTAGACTTTTTGACTTTTTCTTTTTTTTCTTTTTCTTCACTGGTTCCTCAGATTCATCTTGTACACCGTTCTCAGTAAATCCATTTTCCGTTCCATTTTCTACAGTTTCGCTTCTTTTCCTTTTCAATTTTTTCTTTTTCTTTTTAGGCGATTCTTCTTCGATGTTCGCTATTATCTGTGAAGCCTCCAGTAATGCTTCCTTCATAACATCTATGTTTTTCTTAGGTATTTCACCAGTTTCGTAAAATTTCAACCTATCCTCTACTTGTTGTCGCAACTTTTCGCCAAATACATTGGTTGGTATTTCGGTGAAACAATCGATTCTTGACGCTATGGAACATTTATTCGCAAGATATCTTGAAATTCTACCCTTATTTTTAGTACCAGCACGGCCAATGAAAGTCGAATGAAACAGTAACCCATATTTTGGAGTGTTGCCCCTTGTTTTTAATGCTCTGAATAAAGCCTTTTCTGCCCCTAATATTTGTACAGTAGAAGCCGGATATTTGGCTAAATTCGTAAGAGATCCAGCATGCGCTATTAATCTGGCTCCTACTTGGTCACCTATTAATGTAGCTAAGTTGGGAGCTACTCCAGCCATTTTAGATCTTAAATATTCTGCCAATTGCTTTCTGTAATCAGCTAAAGCAATAACACGCGCCGCGAACATTTCGATATTAAGGAGATCAACAGGACTAATATCCATTCCCATAGATGATTTTGATGCATCAATAATTGCTTGAGCTTTAACACTGTCCATGACAACTTCTTCCAAAGCTTCCAATTTTTCTTCTGTAAGTTCTTTCCTATTCTTGATTAATTGTGCAACTTTGGCATACATATAATTCTCAGGAACTATTTTTACAAGTTCTGGAAAATGATAACTGTACCATTCCCTGCAAGCATAAGTTACAATGTACATGTAAATATAAATTATACTCAATATATGTTATTGTCTAAATTCAAAAAAATTAATTAAATCATGTATTATAAATACATACCTTATACGCATACTGAATGTGTTTACATCTTTATCCAATTGATCTAACAAAGCTATGCTTTGTATGATCATGTTATCCACGCGATTGACATTAAATTTTACTTTGGCTCTAGAATAACTATGTCCCAGTCCAAGTTGTGCAACACCAGAACTTTTAACAGTGAAACCTTTTACCAAATTATGGAAATGAAATCTGATTCCTCTGATGATTTCTGGAATGGCACCTGTATGATCGCATTTTATATTTAATGCTTCTGTAATACTGGCTCCAAGTTTTGGGTCTGCCACGCCAAGAACCACTTTTTCCTTTTTTCCTGCTTTTGGTATACAGGAATCCAGAAATAATTGCAAATCTTCAGGAACAACTCCTTCGGATACATTGTTTATATTTTCTAGAGCTGCCAAGGCAGTTTTAAAAGGCGAGAATCCAATGAGTTTCACAACTGTATTGAAGCGTGATATATCTGTAACGGATGCTTCAACTTGAGGCAGTAGCATTCCTACCTCTTCAAATTCTTTAACTGCAAAGACTGCGTACCCAGCAGCATGCTCAAACAAAACAAACAGCTTTGACTGAAACATTTATTTAATCGAATACTATCAATATAAAACATGTTTCATAAATATTATAACGAATATCATGATGTAAATCGAAATATAAAAACGTATTTGACAGATATTATGCTCAATGAATCATGATATAAAAACAGGACTCATTGAAAGTACTCGAAGCGTTTTTACACATGTTTTCATAGACGCTTAAGCGAAATTTTTTGATGTTCAACTCGTACCAAACATTCGTATCCAGTAATTAAGTGTGTAAAAATCTAAACTTTCGAATATGAATATATAAACACAGTATTTTAAGTTTATTCGTAATGAAATACTTGTACAAAATAAAAGAAATTGCCACGTTGTCCAAATTCAAGCCAAAATAGTGTTTTGTAGAAAACTTTGTATGTAAATGATCTTGAAAACCGGTTATATGAACAATAGACGGTGTAGGTATCAAGTAATTGTTGGGTTTATTTACCATATTTTGTTTATTCTGTATTCCATTCAATAATTCAAACAATCACTACACGAATCCAAAAACGTAGTACTATGGTTAGGAAGAAACATGTGTTCCGGATATCGCCGGGTGTATAGCCAGTATAGTAGGTATAGCATATACAAAAAGAAAGATGGAGATCGTGATATTTCCTGAGATTTGAATTTATACAAAATGTCGATATTTCTTTGCACAATTTCTGTAATGTGAAAATCGTTAATCTAAATTTCAACATACAGTGATTTAGAAGTAACACGCTCTGGGGAATTACACCAATTCTTTGAAATTGTATTTATTTGCAATTTTCAAATTAAAGTATCAGTGTTCATGTTTAAGTTTGGTGGCTCGTTTACGTTATGTATTCGAGTGGGTGTCCATATCTTCTAGAATATTTAAGTTTGATCACAATCGAATAATATTTAGCATATCATTAGTTAAACAGTATATAAATCGCTACTCCGAATAAATATATTGTGGCTTTATCGTTGAGAGAAACGACGTTTTACTTAGAACGTAAGTGATGCTTTAGTGTTTGCAGGTTATGTTTATTTATATTGGTCTAGTCAATAGCTGTAGTCGATGATTACAAATCGAGTCGTTTTTTGTATACCATAGATACTTATCTTTTCTTTTGTGTTTAAGCATGGAGTCTCGGACGGAATTTAAAATAAAATCTCCTCCGACCGATGCCATTTCGGCGGTGGAGTTCGGACCGAATTCAACACAATTCCTTCTTGTCTCTTCATGGGACAGCACAGTTCGGTTGTATGATATTCATGCCAATACTATGAGATTAAAATATAATCATGATTTGCCAGTTCTAGACGTTGCATTTCAGGTAATCATAAATTCAACAAATCTTTCTTTCATTAGTTTACCATGTAACGATACATTTATTGTAAAAATAAATGAGTTATTCTACTTGTGTTTATTTGAAACAGAAAAAGAGCGAAAGAAAAAAAAAGTATAGCACTGACAAAATAATGTAAGTTAAGACTTTGTGTGGTAAGGAAGAGTAAAGTATAAGTAATCAAGAAAACTTATACATACTTTTTAGATATCCATAAGTAATGCTATACATATGCATAATATAATTTAAATATATTTAATATAACATAATCTACCAATATTATACTTGATTTTATTGTCGAGTTGTATGATTGTATTTATATTCACTGTTTTTTATTTGCTTGAAATACCATAATAAAAATTTCTTTTTATATAGGATGCTGTTCATGCTTATAGTGGAGGTTTGGGAAACACTTTGAAGATGTACGATATCAATAGCAATTCTGGTATGAATAATTTTTAAACTTTGATTTCCACCTACCCATCTTTGAGTGTAAGCACTACTAAAATAAACTGTCTTATAGAATCAATAATGGGAACACATGATAAACCAATTAGAAAAATTGAATATTGTGCCGCGGTAAATGCAATATTAACTGGTGGATGGGATGCTGCAGTAAAACTTTGGGATCCTAGAACACCCACATGCGTAGGTAGTTATTTACAACCAGATGTTGTCCTCGCTTTGTCCGTGTGCGGAGATAAATTTGTAGTTGGCACAGCCAAACGAAAAGTTTGTATTTGGGATCTGAGGAACATGGCTGGCATGTTTCAAAGACGTGAAAGTAGTTTGAAGTATCAAACACGTTGCATTAAAGGCTTTCCTAACGAGCAAGTACGTTTAACTTTCCACAAATTATGAAAACAACATCTCGATACTATCGCTGTAATTTTTTAATAATTTTCAGGGATATGTTCTTAGCAGTATAGAGGGTCGCGTTGCTGTTGAATATCTTGATACTACACCAGAGGCACAAAAAAAGAAATATGCTTTTAAGTGTCATAGGATTAAAGAAAATAACGTAGAACATATATATCCAGTGAATGCCATTAGTTTTCATTCGACATATAATACATTTGCAACTGGTGGTTCGGATGGTTATGTAAACATTTGGGATGGTTTTAACAAAAAGCGCTTGTGTCAATTTCATAGATATAATGCTGGCGTTGCTGCCCTTAGTTTTAGCCACGACGGTTCTGTACTTGCTATAGGAGTATCGTATTTGAATGAAGCTGAAATTCCACCAGGAGGAAAAGATGAAATCGAAATTTATATAAGATATGTAAACGACCAAGAAACCAAACCAAAATAATATCATATTTATGTAAAATAATTTTATATAAAATAGTTGACAACATTTCAATTGTATTCTGCTTTATTAAAGCAGTAAAAATTGGATGTTGATGACTTTCCATAGAATCTGATCCTTTTATAATGTATATATTTACAGTTGTGTATTTTACACTTTTATAAATCAATTGTAAACTATACAGAATAAATAACCTGTTCAAAATTATTGGGCTAGTCAAATTATAATAAAATATTTTTGTTTGTACAAAATATTATTTATTCAATACAATGAACCAATTCAACGGTATTTTACAAACAAAATGTTAGCATGTCTTATTTTCAAATAGTACGGTCGGCTCAATTTCCAAACGAATTTGACCGACCCCCATAATTTACTCTTCTTGTGTAACGTAATCTTCACCAACCATCCAGCAAAGCACAGTAAATAAGTACTTAAATAGCATGACCCGCTCCGCAGGGGGAGAGGGAAAGAGGAAACCGTGATCGGTGCTGTCAGCCGTCGTCGAACGTACCACGTGCTACTCACTTTGTCTTACACATTTGCAAGGTTAACCAGAGCAAACAAGTCAGAACCGCGCTCTGAAATTTATCATCGCTCGATTAAGAGATTGTCGGGAGATTTATGATCATTCGATAGCTCGAGTTTTCTTTCGATAAATATCAATTAAACCACGAGAAACGAGATTTCTGAATCTATCATTCTTTTATTTGAAAAATCGCGAGATAATTAAACCTTCGACGGCGGAGGAGATTACATCCGATACAATATTTAATGATTAAGTACATTTATTTAGAAACGATACAAATAAGAAAATTTAATAAAAAATGTACTTTGAAGAAAAATATTTTTATACCGACGTCTTTATTAAGTGGCTAATTACAATTTATTAAAAATTAAACATGATATATATCTTGCAACATTTTCATATATTCGTTATAAACATGTTATGTAATTAAGTACATTTACTAAGAAATGATACAAATAAGAAAATTTTAATAAATAAAATGTACTTAAAAGAAATTGCTAAAATTGACGTCTTTATTACATGACCAATTGAGATTGATTAAACAGCAGTGCGTTTTTCAATACATATTGAAGTTTAAAATTAATATTTAAGTATTTACAAGATAAAAATAACTTAGAGCAGCATGAAAATATAAAATTACTACAATTCTTGATATAAAAAATAGATATTGTGAAAAATATTGATTACAATTAGTTTGCTCTTTTATAAATAACTGTGCTAATTCTTAATTACGCACATTACATTTACAAGAATACTATTATAAGTGTTTGTTTGTTTTTTTTTAAAAAGAATGCTGTTACATCATAGAATTGAATATAGCTATTTAATCAATGATATACACCAAAGTGTGTACCATTACATAAAAAAGGAGAATCTAATGTTTATTATTTTGTCTGAAAATATTTTTCGAACTATTTAATTTAAAAACTATGTTTACTAGTTTGGCACACGCAACGGCGATTGCATTAACACAATTCATGCCATATTTCAAACATACAGTTCAAAACAAATATTTGCGCAAAGTCATTGTTGACTTAAACATAGCTATACGACGTGCATCTTTAGCCATTCAACAGTATTTATAACATTTCAGATAACAATATGTACAGTAACAATTTGTACTAATGCCTCCCTCTCTTTTCAGATCCTCTGAAAACAGTATAATTTTATTGAATTATTATTGTGTTACTTTATGCATTATACTCTTCTTGGATACTCGATTTTAGGTATACTTATATTTCAAAGGACTCTTCATCAGATAAAAGTAAATATTTTTTTTTATCTTTAGTTAGAAGCCTTATGTTAATAGGTAATTAGTAATTTTTCATAAATTTTATAATTCTATACTGTATTCTATATTATTTATAATATTAATTTAAGGATCCATTTCTGCGGGCGATAAGTTTTCTTAACGTATCGCGAACCGTGTCGTGTGTCGCAAAACTAATTCCTACTGCAATCGGACCTTTCACCCAATTCATGCTTAATCCTTTATAGAAAGCCATCAGACCTTCTTCTCTAAAAGTATATAAAAAAAATGCATAATTGTGACATTTTATAGCAAAACCAATTTTGTTAAACAGTGAATTTAGTACGAAATTATATTTGTATAAATATCGCATGTATCGTGATCATGATTCTTTTATTGCAATATCAAAATTAATTTGATCTATCGATTATATGCAATATGTATATATCTTAAACTTACTTGTAAACTTTCATTATGGTCGATCCAATTGTGTGGTAATGCTGGCCCTTGACTGCCGAGGTCTGCATTCTCCTCCGTACGATGTCCAAAGGATAGCTGCTAGTCTGTGCAACCATTCCGGCAATGCCACCGCAAATCAGCGATGCCGGGAACCCAGGAATAGCCACCGTGTACACTGTTCATTGACACGTAGCCATCATCGAACATGAAGCACGCACTTGAAAAACGCCGCCATTGAACTTGTCTCGACAAGCGTCGCTATTAAAATAAGTACTGCCCCAATATCGGGAAACAGTCCCGATGTGCCCCACGGGTACCCTGCTTTACGATCATACACGAGCCATTCTCGTTCGTATAAATCACGATTTTATTTTTGCGTGCAAGCACCGTCACGGCAACAAACAAGTTTGTGAAGTAACCGACTCACCAGTGAGCATATTCCTGAGTAGGTCATAAGTGAAGAAGCTGCAGCCAGCATAAGGAATAACACCGAGCAGGGTAGCAGTGAATCCACGGTAATATGCCATTACTCCTTCCTCCATGTAAATGCGTACAAATATCTGTCGTAAGGTTCTGTATTCATCTTTATGAGTCACAGCCATTCGTGCTCTCATCAAATCTAGAGGATAAGTTGAACCTTGAGATGTTACACCAGCCAATGCACCAGCAAGGAAATTCAATCCAGGTTTATCTCTATAAACAACCAACATTTCTCTTAAATTATAAAATCAATTGTGTATTTTTATCTACTATTACTATCGTGTATCTTACCTTTCCGATCCATTTACTCCCAGAACTCTTTTCCATTGTTCGTGTGCTGTGAACTGAACTGCAGAATAAGGAATAATTCTGACCATAGTTGCGCTATTTCCACGCCATAAACTAAGTAAGCCTTCTGTCCTAAGTGTTCTTATTAAGAATTCAACTGCTGCTCTTCCTGTGTATGGCTGTTTTGATATCTGGAAGTTTATTTTTGTGCGATCCAATGGTGCTATGGTTGTTTTTGCCAATGCTCCTGCAATAGCACCTGACACCAAACTTGTCCATACTCTTTGAGTATTTGTAATACCATCTTTCCCTATATGTTTCTTCTGAAATACACAATTTAATGTTGTGTATGATATAGCTGAATATCAGATTTTCCATTAACTGAAATCAGATATATGACAGAATTCGAATTTGTAAAGTGTTTGTCAAGCAATTACTTTTATTTAAAAAAAAAAAACCAGTAAATGTGTTTTCTTTTGAACTTTTGTTTTAATTCAATACAAAACAAAAAGAATAATGTGCAAAGTTACTAGTTGGTTGAGTGCTTTACAGTGAGTATAACAAAAAATATTATTATATTGTATGAAAATTTATATATACTATAAATATTCAATGAATTGCTTTGCAACTTACTGTGACATGTGTATCCATTTCCATTGAATGCTGGGATATAGGTTGTAATGTAGATATTGGTTTTGTATTTGATAATACAGACATTTGGACTTATTCAATAGCTATCTTCTATAAGCGACTTTGAACAAGTATTGTATGTTTATTCATTTTATTAATACATTTTTCTGTAACTGTAGTACTTCCACTTAATCTCTTTTATTATCTTTCTGCAATCTCTCCTGTAAACAAACAAATTACAGATAGTTATTTTACATATTTTCAAGTTAAAGTCTGCTTGCAATATTGATCATACTTTTTTGTTACATTGCTATGCAAAGACAAAATAAGGAAGTGAAATGGATAAAAATGGAAGGCCTTGAATAGATATCTTAATCTCATATGGAATGATTAAAACTTGTACGTATACATAATCTTCAATTACAGATGTTTATATAAAATGAGAAGTAGGAGATAAATGGTATGTTTACTTTTTAAACATAGTTTTAGATAAGTTTATCTGTTACATTGAGAAACTTTGTTGATTATAAGTATATCTCCTGAAGTGCATATGCAGATGATTATTTATATAATAATAAGCACAAGTATCGTAATTTAATAATTTCCAATATGTTTTACTAAAAATTATAATATGTTACTACAAAAATTTAACACAATATAAATCAAAGTTTATACTTCTGTCCTATGATACGATCGTTAATTTAAACTTCTCGAAAATAAAATCTGATTAAAATAAATACTTCCTATAATGTTCCCTTCGATAGATAAAAATTTGGATAGGTGGTTATGTATATACTAAAAAATTCGTTAACTTACGTAATGTCGTGCCTTACGTAGCACATACATAATAAACTAATTAATATCGTATTAATTTCAACACGTTCATTTTGTAATTGTGTTAATGTAACGCAACACGGATACGCACAGTTTACATACGTGTAGCAATATCAAGGCCTTATGTACATACACGTACATATCTACTTTTATCTGCTTTGATCGTGTACACGAATTAATATAATTGAATCCGCACTTAATATCAATTTAATACGTACAATCTTATCTTTAGTTGATAGTTCTTAAACTGGGCGTAGCGCGTTATTTTAAATTCTTTGTCTGTATTTTCATAAGAAATCGTATCCTATTTAAAACCGTGTAGAATCGTATTCCGTGTTATGTCGTTTTCAGAAAACGTAGAATACTGATTGAATAATGCGCGAGTAATTTTTGATAAAGAAAAGGGGGTAAAGAAAAAGAAAACATCACTTACCTTTATCAATCTTGTGCAAAAATAGACGTCACGATGAACATTCCTCTTTGCGAACAAACAATGCACATGCATAGGACCATTTGTGACTGGTTAAAATATTTTACATTACTTAGGCCCCACGGAGCTTGAGAAATTACGTTAAACCTGTTCCCAATGCCTCCTTTCGCGCAACTACTGCAACCAACTGCAACCAACTGACTGCAACCTTTGAGCACCTTTGAGTCAAACGCTTTGACTATACTTCTTACTCGTAACCTTCGCTTGCATTTGGTTATGCATTTCAGATAGCCATTGGCGCGCATGAACACATTCGATCAGCGCCATCGGTGGTAAAACGCCCAAGCTTGTAGTGACAATAGTTCCTATTATTGACACTAGATGGCGCATTGTTTATTTTAAGTGGCGCCATCGGTGGTAAATCGCCCAAGTTTATAGTGAAAATAATACCCACTGTTGTTACTAGATGGCACCACTAAATAAAAGAAGGT